AATGAAACAACCCTTATTTATTTAAAAGACAGTTTAGTTGTGCCTTGATAAAATATCTGATGACACTTGGTTTTAAACAGTTGTTTTGCAGACTTGTTCAGGTGATGGAGCATCTGGAGCTCATGGTACTTTTTGTGGAGCACCATGAAATAATGATATTCTTTCATACTAAGAAGAAAGGTTTTACTTGCAGAAATATATTTATAATATGAAATATAAAGCCAAACCAGAATTTTGTACTTTAAAGAGAAGAAACTGAAAACTAGGCATGATTGCCAACTCACAGTTTTTTTTTAATTAATATTCATTTGTTGCTTATACAGTCTTCCCTAATTGTTTATATTTTTGCTTTATCATAAGCTAGCTTTCATTTGTGGAAAAATGTCCAGAGACAGTGAAGTTTTAGTAGAAATATCCCTAAAACTAAGGCAGTTCTGTTAATTTACTTAATAGTATGTTTATGTACATTAGGAAGACTGCTGTAATTTAGTTTTATTGGTAGAAAATCTAGCTTCATTTGCCAAGCAGCAGTGCTTTGTGGGAACCTATCTTCTGAGCATATTGGTTTAGATCACTGGGGCTCTCTGCAGGGATTTCTTAGCTCCTGCTGTTACCTTTCCCTAGCAGCATAGATAAGATAGCTCACTTTCTTCTTGGGTGATTAAAATGGGTAGATTGACTCTACCAGTTGATTTTATTGCAACTCTAATCTGTTTTTTCCTCTAATTTAGGTGTTAAATAAGCCAACATAGAATGATAGAGACTACCATAGGTTTTCGCTAGAGCCTTATCATCTTAGAGTTTAAAGGAGCCCTTGTTATCTATTAATACCATACAAAGGGCAAAAATCCCATTATATGTAGGCTGACCATTCAATTTTCTTGAGAATGAAAGGGGTGGAGAAAATGCTAAATTGAGTGGTGCCCTGAAATAATAGGTGTAAAGTAGGACTGTCCTGGGAAAAACAGCTGTAATGGTCATCCTAGTTATACAGCAGCCTTGCCATCTAAAATCTGCCTGAAGGTATTTGTTGCCCTACAGAAAATCTAGTGTTCTAATAATTTAAAAGATCTAATGAAAAAAAAAAAGATCTAATTAAAATTTTAAAGGTCTTTTATTTAGTTAAAATTTAACTCCTTGCAACTAGAACTGTTCTTCCCAGTTTTGTTTTCTGGTACTAAATGTAGTCAGAATATGGCAGTATACAAAATACATTAGCTCTTCACATACCTTTTTTTTTTTTTTAACAACTTACAATTTTTTTTTTTCAAACACTGCTTGTTGAACAACACTTTATAGTACATCCATACATTCTCATTTGGGTGTTTTTAGAAAACATTTAGTGAGGTCTCTGGCTTCTCAAAAGCAAAGCTTACAGTTATTAATCTTTTATCATCTTAAGATAGAATGAAGTGCTACAGCAAAGGAGAGCTGACAATTAAAGGAAATGAAACTGTAGTTTATACATGGGAAGGCTGGACTTCCAGCCAGAGTTAATCATAATGCTTATGGTTTTCTTACCATTAAAAGTAATCGATATACATCAAGCAAAGACGAACTACAGATAGATTTAAGACAGCCAGCCCTCTTGTAATCCTTTTATCCTTCAGGCTAAAAAATGGTGGCTCTATATGCAACTTTTCGTCACCCTGGTTACTATAGTAAAGACATATTTTAGTTTTCATGTGCTGTTGCCCATGTTTTTTCTAGGAGGCTCAAAATAGAACAAGCTAGGGAGATAATTTTTGAGGTGATGTGTGGACAGGACACAGAGCCACGTTCATTATTGTATATATGTAGTTCCCACCCCATTTATCTCTGCCCCCTCTTTTTTTGCTATTTATGATAATCCTGAAAGAATGTAAAATAGAACCATTGCACAGCGTGATTAAGGAAAAATTTCCACAGAGGGCATTGTTTAACTTGATGGACATGTAGTTTGATTTGAACTTTTGAATGAATTTAGTTGAAAGGCAACCAAAGTAGGTTATTTTATAGAGGCACCAAAGATAACAAAATTAAAAAGTTGACTTTTGGAAGTTCTCTGCTACAGTGGGTAGAGATTATTGACTGAGTTATTGGGTTTTACTGCTGATACATGGCAAATGTTCACTGTGTATTATAATTTTGTAAAAATAAAACTGTGAAGTGTGAGGTAGGGCAGTTGAAATAATTTAGGGTATGTTTTACAAGTACCAAAGCTTTACTTCTGAGATCATATGTAAAAGTATCTGTAGTTACTCTTTTTTGTTTATTTTTAAAGATTTTATTTATTTATTTGCGAGAGAGAGAGCAGGAGCAGGGTCAGAGGGAGAGGGAGAAGCAGACTCCCTGCTGAGCAGGGAGCCCATAGCAGGGCTTGATCCCAGGAACCCAGGATCACAACCTGAGCTGAAGGCAGACGCTTAACTGACTGAGCCACCCAGGTGCCCCTCTGTAATTACTCTTTTTATTGCAGTTATTTGAATACATTTTTTTTTAAAGATTTATTTATTTTAGAGAGAAAGGGAGCTTGCGAGCAAGGGGAGGGTGCAGAGGAAGAGAGAGAGAATCCTCAAGCAGACTCCCTGCTGAGCCCAATTGGGGCAGGGGGAAGCTCGATCCCAGGACCCCAAGATCATGACCTGAGCTGAAATCAAGAGTCAGCCACTTAACCGACTGAGCCACCCAGGCGCCCCTGAATACATTTTGAAGGTTTTAAAAATGAGTTGGTCAGGGCGCCTGGGTGGCTCATTTGTTAAGCAACTGCCTTCGGCTCAGGTCATGGTCCCAGGGTCCTGGGATTGAGTCCCATATCGGGCTCTCTCCTCTGCGGGAAGCCTGCTTCTCCCTCTCCCACTCCCCCTGCTTGTGTTCCCTCTCTCACTGTGTCTCTCTCTGTCAAATAAATAAATAAAATCTTTAAAAAAAAAATGAGTTGGTCATTCTGGGGAGCACATTTATGTATTTGATATGGTGGGGACTATTTCTTGTGAGGAACCAGAGGAGAGCTATTTTGTCATACAGGATCTTTTTCTTTAGTACAGTTCATCCACATTTGCAGCATTAAGCCTAAGAGATGGAACAGTAGTTTCCTTTTTTTTGATACCATCACTGTTAATTGTTTAGTTGATAATGCTAAGTATATATCTATACTTTACTTTTATTTGCCTTAACTTGCTCATCTAACATTTTTGCTCTTTGAAGTATGATCAAAGATGACTAAGTTAGGAATTCTCCTGGGTACTTTGTTACATGAAACATGGAAGATGCTTGGTGATGCTGAGGCAGAGTGTAGCTAGTCAGGAGGGTGGTCATGTAGTGCCAACTTAGAAAACTGCTGCAGGTAAATACAAAGCTCATAGAAAATTCACTTTATGATCGTTTAACCTTACAATTCAGTTTCTGTGAGTGAATTTTATTACCTAAACCTTGGTGCTATGGGAAAAAACCCTGTCTTATTAACTTGAGAAATGATTTTAGGTATGTTTATGCCAGTTCTGATAAAATATAATTTATGAACTCACAGAAGTATTGTGCTAGGGTGATCACTTACCAAGACACATGCAAACAGCAGTGAAGTAAATTTTACTTTGCATGTTTTTAGAGGCAAATGAATGACCACTTATTGGACTGATAGCACCAAATTATTTCAGGCCATGAAATAAAGTCTATTAAACTAAAGGGGAAGAAGGAGGAAACTAGTATTTATTAAATGCTTTCTGTGTGCTAGGTGTTAATGCTAGATGCTTTCCAAATACCATTTTACAATTCTGTGAGGATTTTGGCTGCATTTAGAACTTAGAGACACTGAGGCACAGGGGTTTATCAAAGCTCCTAAAAGGCGGAGCAAGAATTTGCATGCTCTTTTTTTTTTTTTTTCCCACTACATCACAAAACTCAGATTTGTGTGTGTACAGATTTGCTCTGTGACAAAATTTATTTGGGGGATTATTTTTAACATTGACTTTCTTAAAGTACAAGAATAATTAAGATGTGAAAATTGAATAATGTTGAAGGCCTGTAGTGTTTCTTCAAACCAAGATTCTAGTGGATTTAAAAATGTCTTAAAAAAATTTAATAACTCTTCTCCAAATATATCTAAGTACCTTTTTGATGAGTCACTTTTTAGAGTATTGATGCTTTTGGTTGACCTACAGTTAGCTTGCCTACATGTAGTTATTATCACCTCCTAACAAATGAGCACTTAAAAGATCACTTATAAATGAAGTAGGAAGTCTATATAGCCCTGCCACTTAGGTTTGATTCTTGGTCTGACCCTTCCTAGCTGTTTTGATGTCTGGCAAGTTACTTTAGGTGTCTACACTTTCAAGGTTGTCCCCCCCCCCCCTCCATTTTATCTGTCAAATGGGAATAACATTCTCTATTTTATAGATTTTTTGTGAGGATTAAATGAGTTAAATGATTGCAGATCCGACCTATTATCTTGCACTTCCTGAGCTTTCAATAAATTTGTTGTGTTGAAGAACATCTTCCAGGATTTTATATACACATTGATTCATCTTGCTTTATAAGTAACTCCAAAATTTTGGACTTGAGAAAACCTCCTTAGAGTATTCTACATTTTTGGAATGTTTATTATTATTTCATTTTATTAATTCAGGTTACATTTTCAATTATTCTAGATACTAGTGTAATAGAAATGGTATTGTGGTTTAATTATTAGATGCTTTTCTTTGTAGTACACAGTGATTAATACATGGTAGTCAGTATTTACTGTAGGATTGAATGAATTTGAATCTATTTATAGTCATGATGTTTTTCTTTATAAATTCTTAATTTGAACTTCATTTTTTATTGTAAAGAAACTACCAAAATCTGAATTTCTTAATGACTGCTTCAGTCTCTTACAAATTTTGTGCATCTTTTTAAGTGTTATTTTACTTTGTTTTTAACTAAAAGGTGATCCTTTGCCTGAAATAATCTTTAAAAATTTGCTTAAAAATTTTAAAAATAATAATCAGAATGACATTAATATTTCTTTTTCGTTGTTCTCTTAGCTTCACAATGAAGAAGATAATTCAGAGTCATCTGCTGTAGAGCAACCATCAACTTCAAACCCAGCACCGCAGAGCGTTCAGACTGCCCCTTCAGCATCGGTACTTGAAACGGACTCTTCTCCTCCACCTTATAGTAGTATTACTGTGGAAGTACCTACAACTTCAGGTATTATTTTTAGTATGAAATAACTAGTAATATTTTTAGTGACTCAGTTTTTTTTTTTTTTTTAAACCAGTATGGTTTTATTTAATTATAGAGTCTCTTAAAGGCTTTCTGGTTTTATGATTTTTGTTACAAAAAGGTTTTCCAAAGGATAGTTTATAAAATATTTACTCGTATATTACTAGTCTCCTATTGTTTTCAAAAAAATTAAAAGTGTAAACTTTCTTACGCTTACTAGAATCTGTTTCCAGTGGAGTGGCATATTCCTTTTGGAAGAAATAAATAAATGTGTGTATATGTATACGAATTTATGTGTATATATAGATACACATTTATCTGTAGATATATGCCTATGTGGTATATGTATCTATATATACATATATATTTGTGTTTGTGTATATCTACCTACATAGCTGTAAAACAAGGTATTATTAATGCTGAGTGTGAGTGGGAATGTGGTATGTGTGAATGGAGGTGAAGGGTCTACATAATATAACCATATATACATGGTAATAATTCCTGGACACAAGGCAGTGTTTCCTGCTTCCTACTATTCATTTTATCCTCTCAGGTCATTCTAAAGAACTACCCTTATCTATTTCTCTGGTCACAATTTATATTTTCCCAGTACTGCTAAATTAATCATCATATAATTTACTTTTTAGTTTTTACTTTTATTCCAGTATATATAGTTATCATACAGTGTTGTATTAGTTCCAGGTATACAATATAGTGATTTAAAAGTTCTGTATTTTACTCAGTGCTCATCATAATAAGTGTACTCTTCATCCCCTTCCTATTTCATTCATCCCTCTACTCACATCCCCTCTGCTAACCATCTGTTTGTTCTCTATGGTTAATCTGTTTTTTTTTGTCTCTGTGTTTTCTTTCCTTTGTTTTGTTTCTTAAATTCCACATGAGTGAAATTCTCTGGTATCTTGTCTTTCTCTGGCCAACTTATTTTGCTTAACATTGTGCAGTCTAGCTCCACCCATCTTGTTGCAAATGGCAAGATTTCATTCTTTTTTAAAAAGCTGAGTAATATTCCATTGTGTGTGTGTGTGTGTGTGTGTGTGTATTGTATCTTCTTTATCCACTCATCTATCGATGGACACTAGGGCTGCTTCCATAATTTGGCTATTGTAAATAATGTTATAATAAATACAGGGGTGTATATATCCTTTTGAATTAATGTTTTCATATTCTTTGGGTAAATACCCAGCAGTATGATTACTGGATTGGGTAGTTCTATTTTTTTTTTTTTTTAAGATTTTATTTATTTATTTATTTGAAAGAGAGAGAGAGAGAGAGAGTACAAGCAGAGGAAGCAGCAGAGGTAGAGGGAGAAGCAGATTCCCCACTGAGCAGGGAGCCCGATGCGGGGCTCGATCCCAAGAACCTGGGATCGTGACCTGAGCCAAAGGCAGGTGCTTAATAGATTGAGCCACCCGGGCACCCCAGGGTAGTTCTATTTTTAATTTTTTTAACCTCCATATTGTTTTCCAGAGTGGCTGCACTAGTTTGCATTCCCACCAGCAGTGCATGAGGGTTCCTTTTTCTCCACATCCTCACCAGCACTTGTTTCTTGAAGTTAATCATTATATAATTAAAAAAACATTTAAAATATGTTTTTGTGTACTATTATAAATAACCTCTAAATATTTTATATATTCATTTTGAAACATTTTTTAAATCTGTTATAAAAAATGTTTTAATATTAAAAAACCCTTCACTAGAGTATTTCATCTTTATTTGTTATTCTGTAATTAGTATCATTATTCTTTTTTTTTTTTTTTTTTTAAGATTTTATTTATTTGCGAGAGAGAGAATGAGAGACAGAGAGCATGAGAGGGAGGAGGGTCAGAGGGAGAAGCAGACTCCCTGCCGAGCAGGGAGCCCGATGTGGGACTCGATCCCGGGACTCCATCCTGGGACTCCAGGATCATGACCTGAGCCGAAGGCAGTCGCTTAACCAACTGAGCCACCCAGGCGCCCCTTATCATTATTCTCTTAAACCCTTGCCAGCTTTCTCTGGTTACCATTTCTGCCTCTACAGATTTTATCTAGACTATATGGGTTGTGTAAAAAGACCAAACCATTTACTATTTTCATTTACAGTATTATGCAGTTACTGAAAATCATCTTCTTTATGAAGGTGTTCTCACTAATAAATTAGCAAATGCTTACTCCTTTTATTTGCATATAATGTTTATTTGATCAATATGCTTTTTTAGTGCCCAGTTTGACGGACTGTTTGACAGTTTTTATATTGATTTATAGTAGTTTTATTTGTCTTTGGATTAAATAGCTGGATTAGTGCTTGCTAAAATTTATTATGGGCTAAATTTTCTTCGTTATTCTGTAAGTTTCCAGAATATAGTTCAGTGAATTTGCTACCCTAGATTAAAAAAAAAAAAAAATCTATTTGATGATAGTCTTGAAGAAAGAAAATTAGTTGTTTTGCTGATGCTTGTGTTTGAATGATGGAATGCTAAGATTGAAATTGTAATTTTTTGTGTGGCCACCATTGCCACTGCTGTGTAACAAGCCAAATGGAGTACAATAGCAAACATTGTTATTAGTTCTTATGGTTTTTGAGGTAGGCTAGACTCAATTATGCACTTTTCTCCCAGGATCTCATGTGATTATCGTCTTTCGGTGATCTGGAGCTCGAGTCACCTTGACGCCTTCCTTATTAACATATTTAGCAGCTGATGCAGGCTTCAACTAGGGCCTCAGCTGGGACTGTTGGCCAGAACACCTATATGTGGCCTCTTATTGTGGCCTGTGCTTCCTCACTGAATGGAGGCTGGGTTCCAAGAACAAGCATTCTGAAAGCCAGATAGAAGCTATATCACCTGTTATTGCACTGCTTCAGAAATCACACAGTGTCACATCTGCCACATTTGGTTTGTTAGAAGTCAATCACTAAGTTTAGTCTTCATTCAGGACAATTGAGGAATTAGTCTCCTCCTCTTGATAGGAAGAGTTTCAAAGAATAGAGTTAAGTTTCAGAACTGTCACAGCTGTTTGCTGCCTTTTCCCCCATCACCAGACCTTTTCCTTTGTCACTCTTCATTTCAGTAAATGGCTCCAGGAGGCCAGAAACCTTGAAGTCATCTTTTTGGGACCGTATCACAAAATTACATGTTTTTTCTCCTGTAATTTTTGATGTAATTAAATATGTTATTAATAGATTTCTTTTTTTCCTTTTTTTAAATTTTATTATGTTATGTTAATCACCATACATTCCATCATTAGTTTTTGATGTAGTGTTCCATGATTCATTGTTAGCATATAACGCCCAGTGCTAAGCCAATCAGCTTCTGTATTCCTAGAATAAATTGTCACTGTGTTCTAATCTCTTCTGGATTTAGATTTGTTAATTTTTTTTTTTTTAGAAGTTTTATAGTTTTATTAGTGGATCTTTATGTACTATCCTTATGGTTTTAGTATAAATTTTGTGGAAACAACATAGCATGAATTGGGAAGCTTCTCATTTTTCTGTGCTTTAGAATAGTTTGTTTTTTTTTTTTTTTTAAAGATTTTATTTATTCATTTGAGAGAGAGAGCACAAGCAGGGGGAGAGACAGAGGGAGGGGGAGAAGCAGACTGCCTGCTGAGCTGGGAGTCTGACATGGGGCTTGAACCCAGGACCTGGAGTTCAGGACCTGGAGATCATGACCGAGCTGAAGGCAAATGCTTAACCATCTGAGCCACCCAGGTACCCCTAGAATAGTTTTGATAATGGAGCATGCCATTTTTAAAGGTTAGATAATTTTCAGTTGTAAGACAAGTGGAGCCTGCTACCTAGGTGTTCAGTTATTCTTATAATCTATGTGACTCCTGGTTTCAAATTTTTATTTTTACATCTGTAATAAAATGACTGTAATTGAGCACAAGAACTAAGTTCTAGGAGTTTGTGTCTCTTTAATGAAAACCATTGATATTATTTTTCTTCAGTCTCTTAGTGTTGTATTTGAAGCATTGGCAGTACCAGTTTTCTGTGATTATGTTTTTCAGTAGGTCACTTTCTTACTGGTTTTACAGATCTAGCATCAGTAATAATAGTTGACATTTGTATAATGCCTTAGTTTACAGAGTCCTCTTGAATACTCTTGAATTCTGTCATATAATAGCAAGTAATAGACTTGCTGGGTCAGTTTTATGGATGAGAAAGTAGAGCTTCATAAAGTGCTTAAGTGGTTTGCTTGAGGTCACACAGCTTACTGGAGCTGGGACGGGAGCTCCTCAGATGTTAAATTTTCTGGTTGAGAACCGCTGCCTTAAAGCGTAGACAGAAAATAAGTAAAATTAACCAGTGAAAATTAAAGCAGTAGCAAAATAGTGCTCCTTCCCAACTTTCATCTGTTATCAGATAGGATATTTTTGTCTGTCGTGGGAGTTAGAACTTTTCGAAAACTCACATATCTGTTGTTAATGTAAAAGATCTCTCTTCTTGGATAATGTATGTCATTGTTCCAGTTTTTAAATTTCTAATTTTAATGTTAGTGCCTTAAAATTCATAACCATTGCTTTCACTTAAATTTTTCTTCTATTCTAGTCTTCAGACCTAAGGAAATCTATTTACTTGACTCTGTGTCGTGTTTTTCATCTGAATAATAAGTCATTTCTAAGAATATATGACTCCTGTGCCTTTTTGGTGGATAATGTTCAGTATTACACTGCTACTAGCATTGGGTTAAAAATTGCCCAGCTTCAGATACTTAGGTCTTATTGACAGCATTAAAAAAGCTTATTTTAAAGTCAATATCTATTAAAATACAATAGGAAAAATATTGCTAGAGTGAAATGTATTTTCATGTTGGAAATGTAAGAAATTCTGATGGAGAAAATGTACAAAAACTCTAGGTAAAATGAGGAAATCACAGAACTGATGTCAAACATTATAGTATGGACTACTGAGAGAACCTACCTGTTTTTCATGGCAATGATTCTAGCATAAGTCTAATCAGTTTATTGACCTGTATGTATCATTTTACTTGTACCGCTCAAGTTGGTGATAAGTGATGCAGGTTTTTTTTTTTTTTTTAATTAGCATTCTGTACTTATTGTGTTACATTTCTGGAGATCATATTTCAAAAATAGTTTAAAAGTTGGGGAGGGAGAAATTCTTCATAAAAAGAAAATCTGGGCGCCTGGGTGGCTCAGTTGGTTAAGCGACTGCCTTCGGCTCAGGTCATGATCCTGGAGTCCCGGGATTGAGTCCTGCATCGGGCTCCCTGCTCAGCAGGGAGTCTGCTTCTCCCTCTCCCGCTCCTCCCTCTTGTGCTCTTTCTCTCTCTCACTCTCTCTCTCAAATAAATAAATAAAATCTTTAAAAAAAAAAAAAGAAAATCTAAAAAACTAGGTAGATACGGGGAAAAAAATGGGAAGAGAGGGACAAGAGTAAAAAAGAGCTAAAAATCATCAGTTGTTTTTTTTTTTTTAGCAAAGAGAAATACTGAGTTTGCTGAAGAGATTCGGGCAGTTTCTTGAAACTGATGTGTAGAAAAATGAACCTCACATGTTACCAGGGCAGATACTGGGAATCAGGAAATCCCTGGGTTCTGCTACTTACTGGTTGTGCAATACTGGGCAAATTACTTCTCTGAACCTCAGAGTTGCTAGGATTAATGTATATAGAAGTGGCATATTAAATGGTTAGAACTATATAAGGTTTATTATTCCTGATATTTCTACTTTTTGGCTGTGAGATTATGAGCAAGAAAATTAAATTCTTTGAGCATAGCCATAGGTACAGAGGATGCTCATATGTGGTGCGTTTCTCACTCCCCTTGTACACAGATGTTTAGAATTTCATTCTTGGTATTTTTATTTTGTATATCAGCCTTTAGGTGATATTTATCAGTCTTTTCCCTTTATAATAAATATGGGGCTAAACTAACATATACGGTTGTAGTAGTAATTTATATGTTACATAGCTTATAAAATAGGACTACAAAAAGCAGTAACAGTCTTTAGTGGCCTGTTGTAAATTATTAAATTATGGTTTTGGCTGTAAAACTTTTATTAAATAGTTTGTTTTAATGGTTATCCTTTTTTAATCCCTTTCTTCAGATACAGAAGTTTACAGTGAGTTTTATCTTGTGCCACCTCCCTACAGCGTCGCTACCTCCCTTCCTACGTACGATGAAGCTGAGAAGGCCAAGGCTGCCGCAATGGCAGCTGCAGCCGCAGAGACAGCTCAGAGGGTAAGGCAGGCTGGTTGCTCTCTTTTGAGAATATCGTTATTAGTAATGTCAAAAATAGGTCTGAGTTTCAGAGTGTTTGTGCACATAGACTGTTTTTTAGTATCTTCTCTACTACTTCTTAGGTGGGTCATCATTTTTTGGTGAAATTGGCACTCTCCTATCCATTCCTTTACCTCCCATTTCTGTTTCTGTTTCTATTTATTTCTGTTTCTACCAATTTTCCTGTGTAGCCCATTGTAATTTGTGGGACTCCTGGTCCTTGTCTTTACCAGTACATTTCCTAAGTCTTGATTTTCTCCTCTCATGTGCTTTCACCCCCATCCCCTGACTTCCTCACTCTAGATACTCCACCCCATAGACCTCTTCTCTGTTGATGTCCTTCTTTCCCTCCTCATATAGTTTAGATTCTGTGATCCATAATTATAATCATAAATTATCTTTTTCCCTACTCATTTGTATATATTAGCAGAGCCAGTCTAGTGACTCCATGAATGAACTCAGTGTAGGTTAAAAAGCACAGAGAAATAAGTTACAAGTTTTTAAATTATGTTTGTCAATTCACTTTGTGTGTATGTCCCCTTTTACACATCCCACCCTAGAATTTTTGAATGATACCTGTCCTTTCTGTCTTCTCTTCCTGTCTCAGTAAGAGTCAGTGATATACATGTACATTACTTCTTGTTCTGGTAAAAGGAGTGACTGTCTCAGGAGTGAAGAATCAACGAGAAGCATGTATGCTATTCTACAGTCAGATAAAAGGTGGAAGTTATTTATATTTTATTTATTTATTTTAAAAGATTTTATTTATTTACTTGAGAGAGAGTGAGAGCGAGAGACCACAGAGGAAGAGAGGGAGAAGCAGACTCCCCGCTGAGCAGAGAGCCCGACAGGGGGTTGATCCCAGGACCCTGAGATCATGACCTGAGTGGAAGGCAGACGCTTAACCGACTGAGCCACCCAGGTGCCCCGTTATTTACATTTTAGTATGGCTGCAAGCAGGGCTAGAGTTTGTTGGCTTTTTTTCTTGCTTCAGACTTTAGAGATATCATTTCAGCTTCCTAGGTTCATCCCATGTAGTTTAAGAAAAGACACCAAAAATCACTTTACACAGAAAGCTAGGATTAGGTGAGGGACAAAGGGAGAGAAAACTGATTCTAGGTACAGCATTCTTCTTCGGCCATCAGGCTAGAGCCCAACAAATAGATTATCTGATAGGCGAGTGTTTTTTCCTGGATGGATTTTTTTCATCAGTCCATCCCTTTCCATGCCTGTTCCTGCTCCCATACTCCAACACACACAGAGTTAAATGTCAACATAAATAGCTTTGGGCACATAAGTAAAGACAGTAAGCCTCAAATTTATTATTTATGCCATTTCCTTCAGAGGGTGAAAGTAAGTCTTTGTTAATACAGTGGCATAAAATACAGCTCAGTCAATAAGGATTTTTGATACTTAGAGGAGAGAATCATAGAGAAGGAGCATAGATCTGTAGTGTGGAGTTTATCAGAATCAATTCTAGGTTGCTTAGCACGTACATGGTTATACGTGCATTATATACATGCATGCACTCTCTGTGAATGAGAAGGGCATAACTCCTTTCCTCAGGGAATGTCTCCCTAGAGACCTTGGAAATGACAAAGGTCCTTAACTCTGAAGAGAAAGAAGCAAGCATTGTCTTGCTCTCTGCAAAAAAATTTTCTCTCTTTTGGAGAGAAAACTGAAGTGTTTTCTATTCCAGTCTTTCATTGTCATCATTTCCAGTGTCTTGTTTTTAGAAAGTAATATGATCCCAGTCTGAATTGGAACATGTTCATAAGGAAAAGTTTTCCGTTTTCAACTGCTTCTGATATCATTGTAACTCCAGTTTGTGAAGATTGTGGAAAATTTCATAAAGCAAAATATAATTAAACAGAAGAGACTTACTTAGGTCCTTGTAAAGACTCTTTTAAATTCATCAGTTTCTAACCCAGGGCTCCAGCACCCTTTCTTCTACAAAAGATGATTGAGTATGGGTTTCTATACCTGATTCAGATAGAAAACTGGTCTGATTAGCATTTGAGTATGTATTCAGTTATAAATGAATTTCAACTGGGTGAGGTGAAAGCTTATTTCTTTTTTTCCCCTATTTATTTATTTATTTTTGATGTAGTGTTCCATGATTCATTGTTTGCGTATAACACCCAGTGCTCCATTCAATACGTGCCCTGTTTAATACCCACCACCAGGCTAACCCATCCTCCCACCCCCCTCCCCTCTAGAACCCTCAGTTTGTTTCTCAGAGTCCATTGTCTTAAATCCACGCTCATTGGGAGAATATAGGTAGTAGCCAGGAGACTTGGAAACAATACTGTTTTCTACTATTTCCTATTTCTAATGTGCAGGATTGCATGTAAATTATGGGATGATTAAATGGACTTATAGAAACTAACTCCTTTTTTGAAAAGATTTATTAAAGTGTGTGCGCTAGTGTGAGCTTGTGCTGGAGTGGGGGGAGGGGCAGAGGGAGAGAATCTTCAAGCAGACTCCCCTCTGAGCGCATAGCCCACCACCTGGGGCTCAATCCCAGGATCCTGAGATCATGACCTGAGCCTAGACCAAGGAGTCGGTAACCCAACCGACTGAGCCACCCAGGCGCCCCTGTACCTTGTTTTAAAGTTTGTCAGTAATTTGTCTTTTGACATAAAAACTAGGACTTTATAAATTGTGAGCAACTCCAGGATAAGGACTCTGTGTTTGCATTTCTAGCATCTTTCTATTACCTGGTACATATTTGGTATTTAATAGATTACAGTTTATTAAGTTGATGAAAGCTTTTTAAAAATTAGCAATGTAAGAAATTAGGAAGAAGAAAATACCACACTTGTTTTCTTATAGTTTCTCATTTTAAAATATTTTGGTGTCTTTTACCACTTTTAGGATTTATAAATTAATGTAGTTGGAATTATTATAGAGCTATTATCTTTTATTTTTAAGCATTTTATATAAATGTTTCTCTTTTAATGGTTTAGTGAAATTCCATGGAATCAATATATTATAATTTAGTGGCTCTTCCTCCCTAGTGAACAGTTGGATTATTTTCAGATGTGATTATGTGTCTGTGTTTTCCATTGTTGATGTTGTAAAGGACATCTTTGTGCATATGTTTCCTGTCTTCTTAAAAATGATGTCATATGATAAAATCTCTGGACTGATGTTCAAAAAAGAGTATGAAATATTTATATTCTTGCCCTCATGTTGACAGTGGTTTGGAGGGGCTCACATTGGGCTTTAGTGTTTATTTCTTGAATTAACTTGAAATTATACAAAATTTTATTAATATATATTTAGTTATTGCCAATCACTGTATTCTCTGTAAGAGGGTTGCTTACGATATGTGATTGCAGAGTTTTAGGGATCTTTTTGCCTAAATAATGAGCAATATGGTTTTGAAAATCTTTTTCTTTTGGCAGTGTACATAGGGAGACTACCATGAATGTATTAGCATTTTCTTGACCAGTCTCCTGAGCCTCAGTTCCCACTGAGAAACACAAAAAGGGCCAAGTAATGTTTCCACACACAGTGTGGAACCCTGGATTTAGTGAACCCAGTATTTTCTTTTTTCTCTAAAGATTTAATTAATTAATTAATTTGAGAGAGAGTGTGCATGCAAGAACGGTGGAGGGGCAGAGGGAGAGGGAGAAGCAGGCTCCCCACTGAGCAAGGAGCCAGGATGCAGGGCTTGATCCAGGACCCTGGGATCATGTCCTGAGCAAAGGCAGATGCTTAACCAACTGAGCCACCCAGGCGCCCCGAACGCATTATTTTCTATTGGTCACTAATCTCTGCTCTGGGGAGAGACACTCTCTCTTCCAAAGCTGTCTGCAATATAAGGAAGAAGGGCAGCCAGTGCCTCTACCTAGAAGATGTGTAGAAGAAACATGAAGGACTCATGGAGAATTATCTCCTGACTAGAGAGCCCACTATTGATGGGCATTTAGATTGTGTCTGATATTTTGCTCTTATTATTATTATTGCTGTAGGGCACCTGGGTGGCTTAGTCAGCTAAGTGTCTGACTCTTGATTTCGGCTCAGGTCATGATCTCAGGGTCGTGCTATCAAGTCCTGTGTCGGGTTGTGTGCTAGGCGTGGAGCCTGCTTAAGATTCTCTCCCTCTCCCTCTCTCTAAAAAAGCAAACAAATAAACCCAAAAAACATTGCTGCAGTGAATTATCTTTAATACATCATTTCTTTTAAGTGGGAATATATTGTATATTTGTACAATATATTTCAAGAGCTGGAATTGTTGGCTGTGTACATTTCTTTTCTTTTTTCAAAGTTTTTATTTAAATTCCAGTTAACATACACTGTAGTATTAGTTTTAGGTGTACTATTTAGTAATTCAACATTTATATACAAAACCTGGTGCTCTTCACAAGTGCACTCCTTAATCCCCATCATCTTTTTAACCCCCTTCCCCTCTGGTAACCATCAGTTTGTTCTCTGTAATTAAGAGTCTGTTTCTTGGTTTGACCCCCCCTCTTTTTTTTCCCCCTATGATCGTTTGTTTTGTTTCTTAAATTCCACATACGAGTGAAATCATATGGTATTTGTCTTTTACTTATTTGCTTAGCATAATACTCTCTAGCTTCATCCACGTCATTGCAAATGGCAAGATTTCATTCTTTTTTATGGCTGAGTAATACTTCACTGTAGATATACACCACATCTTCTTTATCCATTCATTGATTGATGGACACTTGGGCTATTTCCATAATTTGGCTATTGTAGATAATGCTGCTATAAACATTGAGGTGCATGTATCCCTTTTGAATTAGTATTGTTGTATTCTTTTCGTAAATACCTAGTAGTGCAGTTACTGGGTTGTAGGGTAGTTTTATTTTTAACATTTTGAGGAACCTTCTTCCATACTGTTTTCCAGAGTGGCGGCACCAGTTTCCATTCCCACGAACATTGCAAGAAGGTTCCTTGCTAGCACCTGTTGTATCTTGTGTTGTTGATTTTAGCCATTCTGACAGGTGTGAGGTGATATTTTATTGTAGTTTTCTTTTTTTTTTAAGATTTTATTTATTTATTTGACAGAGAGAGACAGCGAGAGCAGGAACACAAGCAGGGGGAGTGGGAGAGGGAGAAGCAGGCTTCCCGCAGAGCAGGGAGCCTGATGTGGGACTTGATCCCAGGACCCTGGGATCATGACCTGAGCCGGAGGCAGACGCTTAACGACCGAGCCACCCAGGCACCCTATTGTTTTCATTTGCATTTCCCTGATGATGAGTGATGTTGGGCATCTTTTCATGTGTCACTTGACTCTCTGGATGTCTTCTTTGAAAAACTGTCTATTCATATCCTCTGCCCACTTGTAAATTGCATTATCCAGTTTTGGGATGATGAGTTTTACAAGTTCTTTATATGTTTTGGATACTAACCCTTTATCAGATATGTCATTTGCAAATATCTTTTCCAGTTCCATAGGTTGCCTTTTAGTTTTTGATTGTTTGCCTCACTGTGCAGAAGCTTTTTATTTTGATGAAATCCCAGTAATTTATTTTTGCTTTTGTTTCCCTTGCCTCAGGAGACACATAGTAAAAAGTTGCTATGGTTGATGTTAAGGAGGTTATTTCCTGTGTTAGGATTTTAATGGTTCCCTATCTCACATATAGGTCTGTAATCCATTTTGAATTTATTTTTGTGTGTGGTGTAAGAAAGTGATCCAGTTTCATTCTTTTGCATGTTGCTGTCCAGTTTTCGCAATACCATTTGTTAAAGAGACTTTTTCCCACTGGATATTCTTTCCTACTTTGTCGAAGATTAAGTGACCATATAGTTGTGGGTTGTACATTTTTATTTTTGATAAATATTTCCAAATTGCCAGCCATAGAGATCATACCAGTTTAGATTCCACCACTGATTATGAAAATTCCTCTTTACTGTTCAATGCAAATGTGTCAGTCTACATCTTTCTTGATATATTTTCATTAATCTAATGTTTACTTTTTATCTTTTTTTGTGTTTTCTTTTAAAATTACTCTTTTCAAGGGTGCCCATGAAAAATTAATACTTGCTAATGTTTTTGAGTATTTACTGTGTGTCAGACATTGTACTCATTGTATCATTTGTCTATACAACAAATTGAGAATATCTGATTTTATTTAAAATCTTATCTTTATACTTAAATAATAAAGGTGTAATTAGTTTTTTGGTGAGCTGTTCTAATGTTATGTGTTTTACAGATTCAGGAGGAAGAGTGCCAACAAAGAGATGACTTTAGTGATGCAGACCAGCTCAGAGTGGGTAATGATGGGATTTTCATGCTGGCGTTTTTCAGTAAGTGTTTTTTCATTTCCAAATTGTTTTTTTGCATATACTAGCTGTGTGTGTATTTAAAGTAGCATTGTGAAGAAAGGCAGATAGTGTTAATGGGTGACTACTTTGTTTAAAATGTAAATTGTTCCTGATATTGAACTGTGTGATCATATGATACAATAAAAATCCTAGTATTTAGTATACTTATAACGGTGTATTGCAGTCATTATGCTAGTTGCTGACTATATAGAATTATATAAGTATATTTAAGCTAAATATGTTTTTGCATGAGAAATGCTATGTGTCCATGCAGTGATGTAGGAGCATGCAGAATGAAACTATAAATTCTGCTTTTGGAGCAAAGGACTTCCATTTGAGTGTCTTTAAGCAGGAATAAGGGTTAGAAGAAATATTCTGGGCACCTGGAACAATGTGATTCGAGACACAAAAGAATGCAAATATATCTTGTTTGGGGGAATGGTAAGGAATTAGAAGACCAAAAACCTAAGTATGATTTTTTTTTAACATGTTGCAGAATTCTTAAATACCTGAATTTATAAAGTAGACTTTATACTTTGAGGGAAGACTGTGTTACAGTCTATTATTTCAGTTCCTAACACAGGGATTGGCAGATAGTATACTCAGTACATAATATTATGACACTTGAATTGTTTAATTGCTAAAATTAAGTTTTTGAAATCCAATATTCATATAAGTATATTTATTAGACTTAATATAGTAAATTTCTGCCCTCAACCTGGTTAAATGATCAAGCTCTCATAGAATACTGATTTAATTCATTTTAAGTATAAAATTTATTTTGATAATAAAACAAAGAAATAGTTTACTTATTTAAAGTATCATGTTCAACTTTAAAAATAGAAAATACAGAAAATACATACCTTGAGCTGAGTTACTTTTGAGTCTGGGAAATCACTAATCCTCCATTTTGAAATGGTTTCTTGCTTCTTTTCCTTCTTTCGTTTCATCTGCTGAAGAATAGAAGTAGATAACCACTCAGAAGTGGGTCGGTGAGTGGGAAAGCAGTTATATTTTTCTCTTCAAATTTAGTAAATTATGTTCTGCTTGGCAACCAGCTAATGTATATGCAATATTTAAATCTTGTGTCTTCAGTTAAAATTTGTAGTTAGATATGATGGTAGGTACCATGGAAGGGAAATGAACACTTTGACTACAAATAACTACTGTTTTGTACTATTAGTCTAGTAAATGTTAGTTTTTTTCCTTAGTTTTAGTTCAACGGGTAACCTTTATTATTCATAACAGGCTTCCCACATATTTTGTTTATAAAAAGAGTAGCGTCAATATTAATTCCTTTAATGGTTATGTATTTTAAAAATCTTAATTGGAAAAGGAAATTTAAGTTTATTGTACTATATGTGTATAAATACCTGTCTCTTGGTATAAAAATGTGATTTGATACCATCTATCTGACTCAGAGCTTAGTGATATTTCTCCATTTCTGTATTTCACTTAATCCTACTGTCTTCTTTTTAGCGCCCCCCCCCCCCCTTTTAGATTTGGAAACGTTTTGATGATAAAACAGCGTTGCAAATGTTTGGTGACCTACACACTTAGTTGCCTTTATTTTTGGCCTGTGGTGGTGTATTAATAAGAATATATGTATTTAGTGTAAATTACCTGCTTTTACTACATTTTTACTAAATGATGTCTTTATAACTTATTTTTTTTATGTTCCGTATTCCACAAATACTGCACCAATATTATAAGAGTAAAATTATAAATTATTTTTGGACTTCATTTCCTGATACATTTTTTCTGGTAGGTTGTAGGCCAGTGTTTGAGTGTATTTGCTTTGGGAAGCATAGATTTATTTGTAATCACTACCATCTAGTGGCTATTCTTCAAATTGCAGCTTGCTATATTTTTCATGTTTCTTCAACTATCTAGTAGCTGTTATTTAGATTCTATTCTTTTTTCTATTTCTGTGGTTCAGAAATAGATTTTCTTTTTTAAATTTTATTAAGTTTTTAAATTTAATTTCAGTATAGTTAATACATGGTGTTATATTAGTTTTTGGTGTACAATATAGTATAGTGACTCAGCAGTTCTGTACATTGCTCAGTGCTCATCATAAGTGTACTCTTAATCCCCTTCACCTATTTCACCCCCCCTCCCCCCGCCACCTCCCCTCTGGTAACCATCAGTTTGTTCTCTATAGTCTGTTTCTTGGTTTATCTCTCTGTCCACACCCCCCCTTTTTACTTGTTTTATTTCTTAAATTCCACAGTGTATTTGTCTTTCTCTGACTTATTTCACCTAGCATTATACTCTCTAGCTCCATCCATGTTGTTGCAGATGGCAAGATATCATTCTTTTTTATGACTGAATAATATTGCTTTGTGTGTGTGTGTGTGAGTGTGTGTGTGTGTGTATACATCTTTAGCCATTCATCTATCGATGGACACTAGGGGCTGTTTCATAATTTGGCTGTTGTAAATAATGCTGCAGTAAACATAGGGGTGCATATATCCTTTTGAACTAGTGTTTTCTTATTTTTTGGGTAAATACCCAGTAGTGTGATTACTGGGTCATAGGATAGTTCTATTTTTAACTTTCTGAGGAAGCTCCATACTGTTTTCCACAGTGACTGCACCGACAGTGCAAGAGGGTTCCTTTTTCTCCACATCCTTACCAATACCTCTTGTCAGAAACAGATTTTCTTTAACGTGGTTTATAACTTAAACATTTCAGGTAATATAAATTGTGTGAATAAAACTACAGTGAATATCAATATTTCAAATTAGAACTTTTTGATGGTTTAATTCTTCCCTTCTCTCTTATAGCATCCACATTTCCATCTCTTACCGCTTGTAATCCTGAACAAGTTTACACATAAATTTGGTAAAATAATTGCATGTTCATGTTCAGAAAATGTAAAGAAAGAAAGATATGTATCCTTGATAATTTTTGCTTCTCATAATCCCTTGAAGTGTCAGAGCAGAATGCCTCATACGTACTTGTATCTGATCTTCTTTTTAAGAGTTTTTAAGAGAGTGGAATGGAAGTCAATTATTTGTTAAAAGCTAGAAATTAAGATTTAGTCCACTGGATAATTAATAGTCTGCGGAAATGACCTTGAACTATAATGCTTAAAAATGTAATAGACTCTGTTTAGAAATTTTGTACCATGTGTGAATCTTCAGAATTGAAGAATATGCATACTATAGTAAAAATTAATCACCTGTATTATTCCCATTTGACTTTATTTTTATTTTTTTAAAGATGTATGGATTTATTTGAGAGAGAGCACGTGTGGGAGCAGGGGGAGTGGCAGAGGGAGAGGGACAGAGAGAATCTCAAGCAGACTCCCTGCTGAGCACAGCTCGACGTGGGGCTCGATCCCACAATCCCTAAGATCATGACCTGAGCCGAAATCCCAAGTTGGACGTTTAACTGAGCTCACAGGAGCCCCCATTATTCCCATTTTAGACTTGAGGGAAACACATTTAAAGACATATTAAATCGTAATTTTAAAAGGAATTAGAATATTGTTTTGAAATGTGAATTCTGGATTGTAAGAAATTGCCAAACTGTGTTACCAAAGTGGCTGTGTTACCACTCTGCATTCCCACCAGCGGTGAGCGAGTTTCTGTTGCTCTGATCCTCACTAGCATGTGGTACTGACAATTTTTAAAATTATAGCTGTTCTAATAGATGTGTGGTAGTATCTCATTGTGGTTCAATTTGCATTTCCCCAAGGATTGATGATATTGAGCATCTGTATTCACTACTAAGCAGTTCTGAGCACCTACCATGGACAAGTCATAAAAGTTAAAACTCTTAAAGAGATTGTCTAGGCATCACACATACTGAAAAACAATACATTGATGACATGTTCTGTCCAGATAGAGCTGGGTTTATAATTATATAGCTTTTAGGTGATGTTGTAGATGGTAAGTGAATCCAGAAAGGGAACACTTAAGAATTGTAACTGTAGGGCACCTGGGTGGCTCAGTTAAGCGTCTGCCTTTGGCTCAGCTCATGATCCCAAGGTCCTAGGGTTGAGCCCCGCATCAGGCTCCCTGCTCAGCGGGGAGTCTACTTCTTCCTCTCCCTCCTTCCTTCCTCGCCCCCCCCCCCCCGCTTGTGCGCGCTGGCAGACACCATCTTAACCTGATGAGAGTTGGCATCACCAGCAATAAGACATAACTAGATCACTGCCTCCTGATATGATGCACTGAGAAGGGCACATCATTCCTATGGTATTCTTAAAAAAAAAAAAGAAGAAGAAGAAGGGGAAGAGGAAAGAAGAAATGCATAACCTGAATCTAATCATGAGGAAATATTAGGTAAATCCAAATTGAGAGACATTCTACAAAACCAGTCCATATGTAATGTACGGTGACTAATGTAATAATAAAAAATTAAAAAAAAACAGTCCATATTCTTCAAAAGAATCAAAGTCATAAGAAACAAAGACTAACAAACTGTTCTTCAATTAAGAACAGACTAAAGCGGGCGCCTGGGTGGCTCAGTTGGTTAAGCGACTGCCTTCAGCTCAGGTCATGATCCTGGAGTCCCGGGATCGAGTCCCGCATCGGGCTCCCTGCTCAGCGAGGAGCCTGCTTCTCCCTCTGACCCTCCCCCCTCTCATGTCCTCTCTCTCATTCTCGCTCTCTCAAATAAATAAATAAATCTTTAAAAAAAAAAAAAAAAGAACAGACTAAAGCAAAATGGCAATGTAAAATCTTAAAAAAAAAAAGTTTGAAAAGTTTTAAATTTTTAAAAATCTGATACTTGTTTTAAAAATAAATGAAAATCATAAATGAATATACATATAATACTAACAATGAGCACTTATTTCTCCAATCACAGAAAAATTCTTAATACATACAAATGCACTAGGTTTCAAAGACATCAAGTTCCTAGACAAGGAATCAATTTCACTAAACTTAATTCTGAACTGCATACAGGTAAATTTCTCTCTTATTCTCAAGCATTTCTCCTCATTTAAACAATTAGCCATTAAGAAAGACATGATGCTAACAATTTATTAGTTTTAAGACATTTCAGCTAAATTATAAGCAATGAGATGACCAAAACAAATTTTTTCTTGTAAACAAAATAAGTTTAATGCTTCACAAATACTATATGAGTTTCTTAAGGTACAGTTACAATTTTTTTTTTTTTAAGATTTTTATTTATTTGAGAGAGAGAGAAAGAGTACATGAGAGGGGGGAGGGTCAGAGGGAGAAGCAGGCTCCTTGCTGAGCAGGGAGCCCGATGCGGAACTCGATCCTGGGACTCCAGGATCATGACCTGAGCCTGAAGGCAGTCACTTAACCAACTGAGCCACCCAGGCGCCCGCTTTAGTCTGTTCTTAATTGAAGAACAGTTTGTTAGTCTTTGTTTCTTATGACTTTGATTCTTTTGAAGAATATGGACTGTTTTTTTTTTTTTTAATTTTTTATTATTACATTAGTCACCGTACATTACATATGGACTGGTTTTGTAGAATGTCTCTCAATTTGGATTTACCTAATATTTCCTCATGATTAGATTCAGGTTATGCATTTCTTCTTTCCTCTTCCCCTTCTTCTTCTTCTTCTTCTTCTTTTTTTTTTTAAGAATACCATAGGAATGATGTGCCCTTCTCAGTGCATCATATCAGGAGGCAGTGATCTAGTTATGTCTTATTGCTGGTGATGCCAACTCTCATCAGGTTAAGATGGTGTCTGCCAGCTTTCTTCACTATAAAGTTTTCCCCTTTGTAATTAATAAATATCTTGTGGCTTTTGGAAATTTAAAAGTAAAGTGTTATTAGTTAAAGGATAAACTGTAGTGTACAATACTGCTTTCTAGGTTATCCTGCTACCCTCTTTATGTATATTGGTGGTATAATAAAATGATCACTGGAGAGGTGAAAGACTTGGGTGCTCCTGTCTTACCTATACCTCTTGCTTTGTGAGTTTATGTGGCACTTCACTGTTTTAAGTCTCAATTTGTCTTTCTGTAAATGGAATTAATTCTGACCTTGCCCTTCTTAAAAAACTAATGTGAGGATCAATTAAATTAAAATATGTGAAATGTCATAAATCATAAAGTGCTGTTAGGTGAAGGTAGTAGTAATGTTCTCCTTCCCCATCCTTACCTGAGCATTCACCTTTTACGTGGTTTAAAGTGATTGGTAGCCTTCTTTCAAATGTCATTAACCTGTCTGACTCACTTTCTTATAAAGAAGCACTGGGAAGGTGAATGTGGAAAGTGTAATTGGAGCAACAGTAAGCATTCTTTTTATCAACTTTTCTGAGTTAATTGCCCTGCTTCCTGCTGCTTTGCTACCCCAAATCTTACTTTTTCTAAGGAATATAGGCTATATAAGACTTTTGCTTCTTTGGATTCCATGTTGGGCCTTGCTGTGTGGGGAATAGGTGCCCTACACCTTTCAAGCTTCCTAATTTGTCTTAGGTTTCCAGGGAAACATGGCATGAGTGAAGTAGAGTTAAAAGAAAGGTGTTCTTGTCTTTTTTTCTAGAGGCATGTATATGTTTGCCTGCCTCCACTATATGTTGTTCCTAATTTTATGGATTTTATACACTTAAGGTTTAGCATATATTTATTAAATTCTCTTTTGCCAACTCAGGCATGTCATAGAGGATTTAGAATTGAATGCTTCTGCCTTTTCTGTATTTTAAGGACTTGTTCAGCTTTATTTGCTATCTTATAGGCCAAGGGGCCTAAAAAGTGTATCTATGCTTGAGTAGTCACCAGCTTCACTGTTTTCCCAGTGTTTAACCCAGTTACAGAAGGATAAAGTTATGTATTAGTCTCTTAGAGCTGCCATGACAAATACCATCAACTGGATGGCTTAAATAGTGGAAATTTATTTTCTCACAGTTCTGGAGACTGTCTAGAAGTCCAAGATCAAAGTGCTGGAAAATTCGGGCTTTGGTGAGGATTCTCTTCCTGGCTTATGGACAGCTGTCTTCTTGCCATTTCCTCCCATGGTCTCTTTCCTACATGTGGGTGGAGAGAGAGCACTCTGGTGTCTCTTCTCTTCCTTATAAGGACACCAGTCCTAGTGGATTAGGGCTCTACCTTTATAACCTTAATTATCTTCTTAAAGGCCCTGTCTCTAAATACAGTCACACTGGTTAGAGCTTCAGCTGTGAATTTTGAGGAGACACAGTTCAGTCCATAACACATTATATTACATGAGCACAGCTTCTAGGAATCCATACTGCTGGCAGAGAGCAAAAAGAAAACACTTTTGTACTTTTTTGTTCTTTTGTATCTTATTTCTGATGTGAGTACAGTTGTATGTATAGTAGATATTGGTAAATCTGTTTTGAGGAAAACAGTGTTAGAATTAATTTTCCCCCAAACTAAACATACACACACTCAAAGGTAAAAATGCACTTTTGGAATATTTTGCTGTTTTGTATTTTCTCCATCAGTGCTTCCTGTGTTTTAACAGCATGACATGCTTACAAAATGATAGAATGTTTATAGCACGCTGGGATCCAGGAATAAGGTGCTCAGGGCTAGTGAACGGCTGTGCTCTGCCCAGATCTCACCTGCCTACTGAGGAGGAAGAGAGGAGCTTGCTCAGCCTGTCACTAGCATATATATGGGACACCGGGTTGGGAGTCTCTACTGCTGTTCATTAATGCATATTATGTATTTTAAAGAGATATCAAATTATCTTTTGATCAGCTGTTGCATGTTTTTCTCCACAGATAACACATATATTAACCAATTAGATGTAGAGCAGCTATATCTAATAGTGTATTTCTCTGACCATGGAAATAATTCTCTCCACTGTCCAATATGATAGCTACAAGCTAAATGTGACCATTGAACACTTGAAATGTGGTTAGTGTGACTGAGGGACTAAATTTGAAATTTCATTTACTTTTAATTAATTGAAATTTAAATAGCATCCTTTGTAGAGTAGGGTGGGTTCCTGGAGCAAGTAGAAAAAGCAGTGTGGCTGGTGGCATTAGATAGCACAGATGTAGAGGATAGCCAAATACTGATCAGTATCTAGGTTTACAAAAAAGAAAATGTGGAGTGTGAGCAAGTTTTATTTCCAGTAGTGTCTCCTGAATTTTTTCTTTTTTGCGGAAAAGATACAAGCTACTCTAAAAATATCATTTTTTCTGGGTAGTAATAATGGTTAACATTTCTTAGCGGTCACCATGTGCCAGGTTCTGTACTGTGCTAAGCTCTTTAAATTCATTATCTCGCTTAATCCCCTTATCAGACTTGTGAAATAGGTCCTGCAGATCAGAGAATTGTGGCTCACAGAAGTCAGCAGTGAGTCTAGTGAGTGATATATGTCACACTGTGACTCAAACACGTCTCTTATTTCAAAATTCATTCTCCTGACTATTGTACCATATAACATAGCTTACCATAAATGATCAAGAAAGCTGTGCCCAGAAGGCATTAGGAAGGAAGAAATTATAGGAGTAGGGGAATTGCTTTGAAGAAATAGCTATTTCATTTAAACTTATCCTAAAATGTTTCCTCTTTGTCTCCAGAATTCTGAAAAATCAGCATTTCTCTAGGAAATTTACTTTGTTTTCCCCGAGGGTTGGTTAGAGATATTGAGGGTAAGAGGATGGGCACTGAACAGGACCAAAGTTCTGCTCAAATTGATCTTCAGTTTTATTATCTTTACTGTTATTATCTTGATAATGTTAATATCTTGGACATAGATAGGGCACTCTGATTATATCTCAAGGACCTGTGTTAGAATGGTTTCTGCTACAAGTAATAGGAAACCCTTACTCGGCTGTTTTAAATAGGAAATTATCTCACAAACCAGAAAATCCATAGGCAAGCAGATAGGCAAGCAGACCTCAGCCACAGCAAGTATCAGTTCTAAGGCTCTGCTTTTCTTTGATTTTCTTCACTCCCTAGCCCTTGTGGAGTCACACTTTAATCCTCAGGCTGACAGCAGAATCCCGGCAGCAGTTCCAGATGTTATATCCAAACTAGTCATCCACTGGATAAGGAGTTTTTTTTTTTTTTTTTAAAACATTGTAGAAATTCTCAAACTAGGCAGGAGTATAAATAACCTCTGTGTATTTATCACTCAGTTTCAACAATGATCAACCTAGAACCACTGTTATTTAACCTATATTCCATCCTCTATCTCCTTGATGTGTTTTTTAAGAACCAAAGAATGCTGTTCAGAAGTCCTATTTAAAAAAAAAAAATGGCAGGGAGTTTTGGCCTCCTGTGATTTTCCCAGACTACTCAGGACCCACCTTTTGGGGTTAAGTATGGGGTCCAGCCTTCCCTAAAATGCTCTGTAGGTGGGTGGGATCCTGAAAAGGGGGAAAAGCATGTTTCAGTAGGTAGGACGAAGAGGCAATGAACACTACCTTCTCTGGAAGTATTTTATAATTTATTTGGCTCCTCTTTAATATTGCTTTTAAAAAAATCTAGTTTGGTTGGTTGATTGCTTAGGTTGGAATTCTTGGGTGGGATCACATGGGAGTTACCTTGTGACTTGGTTTTTTAGGTGGTTTAAAAATGCAGTTTCACCTATTGGTGGTAAGTTTTAAGGAATTGATCCTTTTTGATCAAATTGACAAGAAACCAAGCTTACTTGTTTGTTAATGTGTAGTTAATAACTAATATATTTGCAAAAGGTAAACTATAGTCTATAAACAAGACTTAATTGGTACAGTCAAAAGAAAGGGAATTGTTATTTCCATGTTGCAATGAAGTATTGTTAATATTATGTCTCTGTTAATTTGTTTCCAAAGTGTGGTCTTTAAAAGGACTATTTCTCTTGCTTTTAGTGGCATTTATTTTCAATTGGCTTGGATTTTGTTTATCCTTCTGTATCACCAATACCATAGCTGGAAGATATGGTGCCATCTGTGGATTTGGACTTTCATTGATCAAATGGATTCTTATTGTTAGGGTGAGTGTTTTAATAGCCTCTATCACTTCTATTTCATTAAAATACATGAAATTTCTTGTGTGGTTCATAAATGTTCATTTTACATATATGAATCAATTATTTTGAGACTTATTCTTAACCTTTTTAGACTTATTATTGTAGTGATCTCTGTAGTGTGAACATTTTGTAACTTTATTACATGAGAGCTTGTTACTACATGGAAAGAGCTTTGAAGTCAAAAATTTGAGTTTGAATCTTATTTATATCAGTGTTTTAACTTTACGTTTTAAATTGTTGTGAGCATGTCTTCATAATAAGCTGGTAATCCTGCCTTTCAGGATTTCTGTGAGGTCTAGAGGTCATTCAGTTCAAGCACTTGTCCAGTTGCTGTACAAATGCATGTGCTCAGTAAACCAGGCTGCGACTGTTGTGATACAGCGCACGCGTGCCTACCACCCGTTAAAACAGAGCATTTTCTGTTGGTTAGTAAAATTCTCAAGGACTTAATTATCCTCTCACTCTTTCTTTTAGTAACATTAAGAGCTCAAAAGTTAACTAAGGCCTCTGAGGTGGCTATCAGAACTCACCTTTTTTTCCCTTATGTTCCTTCTCCACCTTTCTTATTTCCCTGTTGTTTCTGGAATTTACCCTCTGTCTACTTTTTATCACTTACAAGATGGTGTGTAGGGAGATAATCCTAAGTCCTGTTCTTTTTCCCATCTCAGCAGCTTGTCCCAAAATAATCTTCTGTAACCATTCCATCAGCAGTAATATTGTTAGCATATTCTTCCCCCAGTTCTTCCTTTTGGCTCCTTTTTACGAAGCTTTGTCCCTAGTTTCTTTAGGATAAGGCTTAGGAGAATGATCAAGAGTGGTTTTGGGGCACCTGGGTGGCTCAGTAGGTTAAGCATCCATCTTTTGATCTCAGCTCAGGTCTTGATCCTCAGGGTCATGAGTTCAAGCCCTGCATAGGGCTCCACACTGGGCCCCACACCACAGAGATCACTACACGACACTATCACTTTAAAAAAAAAAAAAAAAGTGGTTTTATTTATTGTTCTGGTAAGTTTTCTTAAAAGTAACCCACATATTTAAGTGCTATTACACAATTGATAAAATGCATAATTTCTACAAATCATATTTATTTAAACATTGATTTCTAATTGAATGAGATCCTCCTAAAATATTCTGTAGAATCACATACTAAGATGTCAGCTTTTCTTAAATGCTTCAGACACTTCACTTATGCACCTACATTATCACATTGATTTAAAAAATTAAAACTGTGGACTTAATGTGTTTCTTCATTATTTTTAAACTTACTGCTTCCCAGAGTGTCAGTAATCTTATCAGATCTTGTCTCTGTTCAGACCAGATAAAGGTTCTGGTTATCAATCAGTTGATTCTTGGGTAGTACCTAAGACTTGCCGCCTTTTCAGATGATCAAAATCTGAGCCAATGTAAGAACAGCCCCCTGGCAGATTCTTTTTCTAATTTCATTTTTAAAAACGTGAAGTGGGGGCACCTGGGTGGCTCAGTCGGTTAAGCGTCTGCCTTCGGCTCAGGTCATGATCCCAGGGTCCTGGGATTGAGTCCCACGTCGGGTTTCCTGCTCACCGGGGAGTCTGCTTCTCTCTCTCTCTTTTTCTCTCTCTCCCTCTCCCTCCCTCCCTCTACCCTTCCACCCCTGCTTGTTTTCTCTCTCAAATAAATAAAAAAATCTTAAAAAAAAAAAAATGTGAAGTGGATTCCCACCATGATCATAAGTCTGTTAAGGTGTTAGGGAGCATACAAAGATAAAGCACGATCCCTGCCCTTGCAGAAGTTATTACTAGAAAAACCTCAACAAGAGTTGAAGTTAGATGTGCCCAATGGTTATTATTATGTTAGTAATAGAATTAATTACTATTATTCAAATGGATTTCTTAGTCACAGAACACAGAAAATGATTTGAGGATTGTTTTCTCAACTCTTCTAAACTTAGTAACTTTGTGTATTCTAGATTCATTAAAAAAAAAAAGTCCAGTCCATTATATGCAACCTCTGCTGTTAGGGTATTAGGGCCTAATTCTCTTATAGTACTCCTAGTTGAGAGGGGTTTGTTTATCTAGTAATTAATTCCATCTAATGTGATAAGATGGGGAACTTAAATTCAAATACTGAGGATTGCATCAGGTTTGATCACCAGAACTGTTTCATTTCCCTTTAAAATACCACTACTGAGGGGGCACTGGCCGGCTCAGTCAGAAGAGCATGTGACTCTCGATCTTGGGGTCGTGAGTTTGAGCCTCACGTGGGGCGTAGAGATTACTTAAAAAAATAAACTTTAAAAAAAAAACCACATAAAATGTGCCTTTAAAAAAAAAAAAATACTGCTACTAGGTTAAGGTTAATATTATGCCTTTAGTGTATATTGAGAATTGACATAAGAAAAAGATTTTTAAAAATCTTTTTTATCAAATAATAATAGCTGCCTTTCATTGAGTACTTACTGTATTGCAAGCATGATTTGTTACAAACACCAAATTCTTGACTCCTGCTTGTATCAGTGATGCTAACGATAATCCAGACATTTTATTGATGATAAAGGCTAAGAATAAAAAAAGTCAAATAACTTGCTCGATATCCCACAGTTTGTTGGATTAGAATCTAGCTTGGTCTCAATTCAGTGCCTTTTCTCCTAATTCTGTCCTGCCTCTGTGACACTGTACTTGGACTTTTATTATAATGCTCTAAGCAATAAATGCCATGTGAAGTGCTGAGAGAAAGGTTTTCTCCTAAAAGCCTGATGTTTTATTTTATTAGACAATAAGTAATTTATAAATCATACTGTAGCTTTTCTTTTTGTTTCTGAGTTTCCATTTACTCAGACTTAATGTAAATATCTTTAGCTGATTCTAGTATTATTATTTCTAAGGCTTTTGATGTTTTCATTTATTTAAAAATCAATATATTTTTTTTAAAACTAACAACTCTTTTTGAAAGTAGACAGGATGTAAACAATAAACTACTGGTGTTATATTAATAAAATAAAATTAGATAAACTCTTAGTGTCAGTTAATTTATTTTCCAAAATTTGGCTTTTGCATCCTGTGATTGGCCAGTCAACATGATTGATTTACTCATTAAAAAACCCCAACTTGGCTCAGCCCTCTGACTATTGGTATTTTAAAACATTTTTACTCACTCAGTAATGAATCCAAAAACTCATTAGTTTATCCTTTTTACATAGTGAGTCTTTCTTTGACTTCACGGTGAAAGTGATTCTATTTTTTCATTGGGGAGTAAATAAAGACTAGCTTTGGCAAATATTTTTGGTGAAGAATGATGTTCTTACTTTTCTGGTTGCCTCTTGCCAGGTAATATTATTTATTTAAGTATATTCTACAATATATTTAAAAATTAGAAAGTTAAAAATGTGTTGCTTTGGTTCTTTATTTCTTTTCATTCTTAAAGACTCTAAAACCTATATGAAAATCTTTTATTTCTTATTATTAATCACTTGATTAAAAAGTGTAGTGCAGTCCTACTTTACCAGCTATATTTCCCCAGTTGTTTAGTTCTCCCTTGTACATATTTTAAAGATGTAGGAGTGTGTGGGATCTGCATCTATAATGATACTTTAAAAATTTTAAACTTTGAAATTTCTAAAGCCCTCAGCCGAAAATTTAGATTATGGTTCGTTTATTAATTGTAAATACTTCCTGTAGAAATACTTAAAAAGTTTTAAAAAACAAATTTAGGTAATCATTAGTACATATGCTTCCTCAATAGTGAGATTATTTACAATTTATAAGTACTTTATTACTAAACCTATAAGATTTTTATTTTATTTTTTTATTTTTTTTAAAGATTATTTATTTATTTATTTATTTGACAGAGAGAGACACAGCCAGAGAAGGAACACAAGCAGGGGGAGTGGGAGAAGGAGAAGCAGGCTTCCCGCCGAGCAGGGAGCCCGATGTGGGGCTCGATCCCAGGACCCTGAGATCATGACCTGAGCCGGAGGCAGACGCTTAATGACTGAGCTACCCAGGGGCCCCTAAACCTATAGGGTTTTTAAACTTTTGTGGAAATTACCAACAAATAGTTGGAAATAATTACAAAAATAAAGTTGGAGATACTTTTAATTTCAGATTTGAGGGCAAATCTCCGTTTGACAAAATCATTTTTAGTTAAATCAGATTCAGTTTGGAGGCCAACGAAATGAAACAGAGTAAATAAAACAAATTAATTTTTAGTAGTTTTAGACTAGGTTATATTAAACACTTTCAAAAAATAACTTTGGAAAATTGTTTAGGTGCTAAAGGATAATAGGGAAGAATTATCTGAAGTAAATGAAGAAAATTAGATTGACTTAAAAAAATTTTTTTTAAATAATAAATCATGACATCCAGAGGTTAAGCAAGGAAAAGATACCTGTGTTCAGTATCAGACTCTGCCTTCCATCTGCCTGTTCATACACTCATTTCACAGGGAATAAAAAACTGTCTACCATGGTCACTGATAGGAACTGTTGAAACGCCACTTCAAGGTTCATTTAGCTGGTCTCAGCTCACTATTGGGAACTGAATACTGGAGCATCTAGTTTGAAAATAAAAAGACTCTAATGAGTTGGGGGTCTTTATGTGCCTAGTATTCTTGGCAGTGATTAACAGTAGGGGGTGTACAGAAGGTCAAAAGCTCTTCTTTTTAGAGGTCAGCCGAACATCCCCATCTGATAAGATTAAACTAATGTGGCTTTTGGTGTTAATATCTAAAGCAGCGGGTTGCTGTAGTGTGTTTGGGATGGTAGTTGTGGCTCTGAGAGATTATGAAAAAAGAACTGACATGTGAACTCTTTAATGAGAAAGTTGGATTCGGATGTATAGAATTTACCTTTCTTTCTTAGAATTTTGAAACTGATTTTTGTTTCTAAAATACTTTGTATAAGTTTGTTAGCTATTGTATACAAGATTTTAAAGAGTTTGTTTCCTCAAATAATTATGTATGCCATTAAGTATTTATTTTTCTCTTTGTGTTGTTTTAAGTGCAAGAGATGATTTGAGGTAAATTGTTCTGAAACTGAGGCTAATCTATGATTTTCAAATTTAGGTACATAAATAGGGTTAATATATTTTTGTTCACTCCTCAGTTTTCTGATTATTTTACTGGATATTTCAATGGACAGTATTGGCTTTGGTGGATATTTCTTGTACTTGGTAAGTTTATTTCTAATGCATTTCAGTTTTTAATTTGCATTTAGTTTAACTTTGATATTTCCCCAAATTGTAAGACGTAAATACATTGTGTTGAAACTTATGTGGAAATAATTTTTCTACTGTAAAATTCTCATATCCAAATACTTAATATCATCTCAGCTATTTGGATAATTAATTATACATTGCACTCGAGATTTCTGATTGAAAATCCAGAGCCTGTCAGTTTAAAAAAATCAGTGGTTGGATGATAATTGAATATCGCAAAACTTGAAAATCCTAAATGAGTAAAAAAAATTGTCTTTAGCATTTATTTTGGAAAATATACATGCATAATTTCTTTTAACGATCCTAGGATATGTTGAGAGTAGGATAGTTGGATGTTCTATGCATTTTCTTATTTTTGGAACATTGAAACACTCTTTATACTTTTGAAATGTACCCTGCATTAATCATTAATCAGTCAGGCATAAGAAGGCTTCATGCTCAACGATCACAGTACTTCTGTTGAGTTCTCTTTTTACAAGGCATGTCTTTTTATTAATATTGATGAATTTTATGGATTTCCAATTTTTGTTCCCTGGTGATTTTCACTCTAGATGTATGGTAAGTTAATCTCAAAATCACATAATGCCTTTAATCCACATTTCAGATTTATTTAGTGACATGAAGAATATCCTCTCTACTTAGGTTTAAAAGCCCACATTTCTGTAGTAATATAATTGCACCAGAAAATAATAGCATTTCAGTAGGTGGCAGTGTTCTCATTGAGTTTTTGTTCAGTCCTGGTATTGGATCTTTAGGATCTTTAGGGAAACAAATTCTTAGTGGTCAGTTAAGGTCACTAAAGATCTTGTATTCTTACTCTTAACAATTATAGTGAAATTATTCTAGTGTTGTGATTTTGTTAGGGAGCCAGACTCTTACAAGGGTTTAGGCAGTTATTTGTATTATTAATTGTTTTCTGACTGCCTGAATTCTGTGCTCGTTACTGAGTTTCTTACTTAAAAGTGAAAAAATATATGAAGTCTTTTAGGTATTTAAGCATATTAAATGAGTGTATTTGCTTCTAAATATATTATTAAGGATTGGATGTTAGGAAGACAACTATAGGGCCCAGTGAAATGCAGAGGACCACCCCCCATTTTCACATCAGAACCACAATCTAGCATTTAGGGAATTGTGAAAACTTAATCCATTATAAAAATGTTGCTTTCACATATACTCAGAAGAATGTTGAGTACATTGTAGAACACTGAGAAACAATAGCTGCTGAATGATTGGTTTCTAGATATGAACTGGTTTATTTTAGAAAATGCCTGAGCAGGACAAAATAGTCTTAGAAACAGTAGTTTTCATAGACAAAAGTAGGAATTTCACAAATAATTTTGGTTTACATTTTTCAATAATACTTCTACATTTGGATCACAATACCATTATCTTTGAACAGCATCTGGAAGGACATGAGGGTGGAATTCAGAGTGGGAGTCACAAATGGAAGGAGTAAGGATATGGGAAGCAGATGGGCTCAGATTTAGCTGAAATTTATACCACTTGCTTTAGTCATTATTTGTATATCTTCCTATCTTTTCTCTTTATTATTACCATGCTTTTTTTAGTGCTTTGGTTACTTTCTTGGAGTTGGGGTACAAATTTAGTTTGGGACTTTGCATTTTAAATCGACAGACTCCTCCTCTCGATGAGGAGAGTTACATGCGTGTATATCTTCTGTTTTTGTTTTGCCCCCGCCCATTACCTAGTTAAACATTTACTGAAGTTAATGTTTCCCTTAGAATTCTATGTTGAATAAGTATATCAAAGAATTTACTAATAATGCTAATGCTTTTTATATTTAGCTAATATTTTTCATCTGAAACTTTGAAGCATTTCACAGGCATTGTTTTATTAATTACTAAGGGTTCCTGTTATGTAAATGGTTGTTATTTAAAAATCCTGTTAAAGAGAATACTGATAGATATAAGATCTATCCCAAATCATTTAATAAATCAGTAGAGTGGGTTGCTTCCCAATTCTTTCCTGATTCTTATCTAAATTTGTATTATAAATTAGTCTTTTGTTAATACTTGAAAATAAGAACTAAAAATTATTTACATAACATATATCTTCAAATACAGATTTCACAGATGACAGGCACTTGATATTATTAGAGAGGCTTATTGGTTTTATCCCACGATTGTTAGCAAATTACTTGAATATATTCTTTCTTGAATACTTTCTATCAGTAAATATGTCTTAGTTTGCTTAGTAGTTGTATTAATTGAAAAGTTTCATATAAAAATGGGATTTCTCTGAGTTGAATCAGCTTAAATGCATTAGGTAACTTTGTTATTTAAAGAAATCATGGAATAAATATATTTTTGTGTAATTCTGGATTTTCATGGCTGGATTTGCTTTAATTTAGATACATCTGGACTTGAAAGAATTTGGGGAGGCAGTAAACTTCTTTATATTTTTTCATGATGGTTATTATCGTTATAGTGTAAAATATTTTATGGAATGAGTAGAATTTTACAGATTAAATTCCTTAAGCCAAGAGGATCTTGTTTATAATTGTCTGTTTTAAATTGATGCCCTCTCCATATAAGAACATAATGGATCTGTATTACTTTAACCATTTCAGGCCTGCTTCTTTTCTTCAGAGGATTTGTTAATTATCTAAAAGTCAGAAACATGTCTGAAAGTATGGCAGCTGCTCATAGAACAAGATATTTCTTCTTATTATAGAGGTAAGAAATATTAATATAGAACTCTGTTTCCTTCATGTATTCCTATTCACCAGATGACTTTATGTGTACTCAATGTTGTTTACTTAGACTTAGCATATTTAATATATTGTTATACTGTTAACAGTCAACTAATTAAGATTCAGTACATTGTGAACTTTTTAAGATTTTTAAAAATTGAATTTCATAAATTTTAATTTTTTAAATATATAATGAATAAAAAAACTTTAAGTCAGACTTTTTAAACTTTTTAAAAGATTAACCACAGATGTAAGGAACCATTAGCACACAGTTTAAAGGCTTGAAAAATAAAATACGACAAAGCACTTACACAGAAGGGATGGGCATTTTGTATAAAACAATGTGAAATCCACAGACATGGTAAAACAAAACAAAATAAAACAAAAAACAAAAAACAAATTTGTGGTTGAAAAGAAATTTTCCATGCACTGATCTTAACAAACTAGATCAAAGAATAAAAGTTGTGTGAAGAAAATGGGAGCTCTCATAGTTTCCTTAATGTCTGTCAGTTTGTATCAACAATGAAGGCTTCAACTTGAATAAATGGGAATAAAGAAATGAGCAGAGGTTGTCTTACTAGTTATCCAGTGAGTTTCTGGAGGCTGCATGCAGCTAGCTAGTAATTTCTTCACATGAGGAGACCTCATATCTCTATTTTCTAGAATAGACTTTTTGTTATTTAAATACAGTTAACATACAATATTATATTAGTTTCATATGTACAACATAGTGATTTGACATTTGTATATTTTGTGAACTGCTCACCACAATAAGTCTAGTTACCATTTGTCACCATACAAATTAATACAAATACAATATTATTGACTATATTCCCTGTGCTGTAATTTACGCCCCCATGGCTTACTTGTTTTGTAACTAGAAACTTGTACCTCTCAATCCCCTTCACCCATTTTGCTCCCCTGTCCCGAAACTCCTTCCCCTTTGATAGCCACCACTCTGTTTTTAGTATCTATGAGTATAGGTGTTTGTTATTGGGTTTTTTTCGTTGCACTTGTAAGGGAAATCATGCAATATTTGCCTTTCTCTGACTTATTTATTTTGCCTTTCTCTGACTTATATAATACCCTCAAGGTCCATCCATGTTGTCACAAATGGCAGGATCTTTTTGCTCAGTAGTATTCCATCATGTATATATGGAACACACACATACACACCCTACCTCTTTATCCATTCATCTATTGATGGGCACTTAAGTTGTTTTCCATATGTTGACCATTGTAGATAATGCTGCAGTTAACAGGGGTGCATGTATCTTTTTGAATTAGTGTTTTCATTTTCTTCAGATAGATAGCTACAAGTGGAATTGCTGGATCGTAGGGTAGTTATATTTTTAATTTTTTGAGGAACCTCCATACTGTTTTCCAGAGTGGTTGCCTCAATTTACTTTCCCAGCAACAGTTCACAAGCTTTCCCTTTTCTTCATGTCCTCACTAACACTTGTTTCTTATCTTTTTACTTATAGCCATTCTGACAGGTGTGAGGTGATAATCTGCTTTTGTTTTTCATATGCATTTCCCTCATGTTTAGGGTTGTTGAACATCTTTTCATGTGCTTGAAGGCCATCTGTGTGTCTTTGGAAAACTGTCTATTCAGATCCTCTGTTCATTTTTTGATTGGATTGTTTGGTTTTTTAGTTATTGAGTTGTATGCGTTCTTTAACTATTTTGGATATTAACTCTTTACTGGATATATGACTTACAAATATCTCTTCCCCCTATACTGTTTTTAAAGCAAGTGCCATATACTTCATGTTTATAAATGATTTGAACTTTTAAAGTCTTTGAACTGCATAGGCAAAGTGTCTGCTGAAACACTTCTAGATGTCTCTACAAGTACAAAATGTTTCAAAGTTACTGTATTCTTTTTATAAATAAATTGTATGGTTTGGGATTTGATTGCTTAAGCTTTATAACTAGGAGTTTTACATAATCTAATATAATTTACTTATTTCTACTGAAGAGTACAGTGAATAGTTGTATTTCTGGAAAATATTAAAGTATCCTTTAAATGTTCTTTTAGCTCTAGAAGGTGTCACATTTTCTCTTTAACCACTAAAATACCTTTGCGAGCAAGTGTATCAGTATGTAAGATAAAATGCAAAGTAATTTTACTAATTTGAATGATATTCTGTGAGTATTCAGTGTAATTATCTTGTTTGCATTTTCAAGAGCCTAAAATTTAATGTGTAAATATTTTCTAGATGGTTTCCTATAGAAGCTTAAACTTCGGAATATATTCTGATAATATGCTATTTTATATTATCTTTACCAAAAGAACATTATATACTTGATGTAATACTGCTATAAAATGGGTTTTTATTGTATTACCATGTAGACAGTTGCAACTTAATATACTTTAAGACTCTTTCTTTGTCCCTAGACTGCATCGACCAGACATTCTTTTCTTATATCAATGTGAAATTTCCAGATCATCTGTAAACCTACAACTTTAATAGAAGACTACTAAAAGCAGAAGATAAATTAGTGAAGAAAAGATAGATCTTCAAAATTGAATAGCAGGATGGTTTATGCTTAAAAGCCATTTCTGTTCATTCTCTTAAATATTTATATTTCATTTGTTTTGCACATTTGCATACGTGCCCATGTAAAAGATTTGCGTATACTTGAAAGAAACCATAAAGTTGTAGCAGTAAAGTCCAGTCATATTTGGTTAATCAGTGTTTGTTATAATTGAAAGAGATGAGTGAGAAACAGTCTTCCAGCATGTAAATGCCATTGACTTCCGACCTGACATTTAGTATAATAAAAATGAAATTATTAACCATGTCAAATGCTTTAGTTTCTGGCTCCTAGATTCATCTAGTGTAACTCTACACATGAAACATCCTTTGTTATATATAGTTTTTAAAACCTGCAGTGCTGATTATAGAAGAACTTTGTCAGATTTTTGAACATGATATTTACATTATTATTTAGCAAACTCTGTAAATAACCATGCATAAATTACTTTCTGCATTGTTTTCTTAGAAACTGTGTCTGGATATCTTTTCAATTAATTTAAAATTAAGTGAACTTAATATATAGAGAAAATTTGGGTGTTAAAGATAGTTTGTTTTAGGACAGATTTTAAGAAGATATGGGTATTCCACATGTCCCTTATAAAAACATCTTTTCGTTGTTTTCTTTTTAAGGGACATGCCAAGTTTAGGGGTTCTGTTGAGAAGCTTGGTTTTTAGCATTGCCATCTTAGAGAGTCTTGTAGGAAGAGATTGTATTAGACATCATATTTATTTCATTTAAGACACTTTTGAAAATTAATTTTCTGAATAAGATATTCTCAATTTGCATTTGTCTTTTAAGAAGCCAATAAAAGTATCTTTCATTTATCATTGTAATAATGTTTTCTTTAGATGTTTAGGTTGTTAAATGAAACAAATAAAACCTTGTACTAATAGCTTCTTGCTTTATGATTGTAGGATTAACCTATAAAAATCATATCTTGAATTCAGATATGCCAAGTAATCGGTTTTTCAGTTACAGAGATGTGTCTGTGGGATCTGGGGGTGGTGTGTGTGTGTGTCTGTGACCATTATTACAACTGGAAGCAACTACATTTTGCAGATCATTTTATGTCTCATCTATTTTCTTTTCAGTTATATTTTTGTTTTTGAATGCCAAAATTAACAATGAGAATTATATCCTCTTTTAAACTTAAAAATCATTTAATACAGCTATAGAGTACATATAAAATTGGTTGCTTGTTTATTATTAGACGCTGACTCCTACTAAAAGATACATCTAAAATTACTATTCAGGGACATTTTTCCATTTCTGAAAAAATAACTTAGGCTTTATAACTTCTTTTGTATTTCTCTGTATTTTCTGATTTATTTCATTGTCTTTGATAAATAAAACATGCAGTTTTGTTTTGCTAATTGAGCCTCCTATTTTTTGTTTTCTCTCATTCATTTTCCTTCCCTACGTAGAATTTTTATTGTTGATTGAAGTACCTGTGTTATATACCCCCTGAAGTCAAACTAGCATGGGGTAAAGAAAACAAAATATTTAATTTAGTTGCCTGATTTGGAAGTTGAAATTAAATTAGCATGTATTTATGAGAAATGGAATCTCATGCTAGATCTCTTACTTATCTCATATTAAGTTTCTATCGACCTGTACTTTGTTTTTTGTGATAATTTTTAAATTAAATTAAGCTATCATACATGGTAATTGTAGATTACTAGATGAGCTGTCACATCACTTTATTAAAATGTAACATTTTATTTTTTGTGGTATTTATCCTTGGTTTCTGAATATGGATGTGTCACTTTTGATCCAACATCAAAACCTTCATTTTTTGTTTTGGTTCTCCCCCCCGCCCCCACTTTCAAATCTATAAGGTTCACGTGTGCATGTTACCTGATCCCCTATAATTGGTACAATTCAGAGGTAGCCTTAAATCTCATCATCCAATCAGGGGCATAGAATATTATTTTTAAAACCTTAACATTCTCTTCCAGATCTATCAAATTCTGCATACTTCCCTTCATTTCCTGTGAGCTTAGATAGAATAGTTGCTGTTGAGTTTTGGGGATGCTTAACTGCCTTTGCACTCTGTCTTAAAGTTTGAAAATCAGAATCTTTGTTAGGGTGTCTAAATTTTTGAATGAATGTGAACAGGGGCTTGGAAATTAATGCAAATATTTATTAAATTATTTCTATTATATTTGAATAAGCTAGTTAGGGCTAGGATATTATGTATTTATGAAATCAACTGAATTTAAGGTAAAAATACATTTTTCTGTGTAGTGTGTTCAGGATTGAAATTAGAAATTTAAAATTAAAAGCCAAATCTTACACTCAGCTAAAATAAAAATCTCTCTCTTTAAGAGAAAAAATACTAATTTCTATCTGGCCTTTTATTTTGAGTCTGTGAGGTATATCTCCCATGCCTTTGAGGTAGTTTAGAAATTTTAACCTGTTAAGACAATAATAACTAATACTTCCAGCAAAACCGTCCACAACAGGAAAAGTGAAATCCAAAAAGTGCAACTAGAGAAAAAAATCAGGGTTTCTTAATTTAACATTTTTCTTTTCAGCTGGTCTGTAGTCCCCCAAAGCACAAAAGTAACGAGAGTGCATCTGATACTGTATTTAACTGGAGTGACATATGACCTGAGTTTGCTCAGAAACAGTCCTATTTCTGTTTTCTCAGCTTAAATAGTGCCTCCTCTCTCAAAAGTGTCCTAATTTGGAGAATAAATTACATGATCACCCTATATATAACTGTACCTTATACTGAGAAGTGACTGCCTAAATCCACTGCCCTTTGAGAGAAGGAACTGGAGTATTAGGTCAGGAGCTAATTTTTGTCACAGTCTTTCCTAGCCAACCCATTTGTCTGACCTATAGAATATGCACAGTATCTTTTTTTTTTTTTTTTAAATAGAAGTTGTATTGGAATGATTCCAGCTTATGGTAAATAGTAAACAATGAGCTTTTATATTTTAAAACTGCTGTTAAATGTTAATTTTAATTGTTTATTCTTCAAATAGTCATATGAAATGTTAGTGTATTATTTTTAAAAATCTCATTCTTGATAAAGTTAAACTGTTAGATGATAATGTGCCAATTATTATAGGAATGTCCTTGCCCATATATAAAACTTGCTGACATATGTTTTGCTTATTAATAAAGTTCTATAGATATGGAAATGTGAACCTGTGCATCCTTTTGAAATCAGTGTAAGATTCACAACATATCGCCATCTTAGCCTCACAAAATGTTTATATGGTATACCTTACTTGAGATAAGAACAACTGGCATGGAATTAGGTTGGAGTGTGGAACAGTATTAAACTTGTCACAGAAGATGATTGCAGTTTAATTTTAATACATGCCAAAAAATCAGCTTTATGGAATTTATGTTCATTGCTACTTTGCAGAATATCAGTGGTAACCATAGGTCAGACCACCCTGTGGGCTTGTATTTTCATTTGGGACATAGACCCTAGAATGCAAAAAACTTCCTTCAAATTATTTAGAAGAAAATCAAAAAGCTCATTCCATACTTGATAAAAGTTTTTAAAAGTGTTTATTTTGAACTCAACATGCTTGGTGGTTTTAACTTTTCTTTCTTGGTGTTTTCAGCTTAGCTTTCATTTTTTTTTGTTTTTTTTGTTTTGAGAGATTGAGCTTTTAAAACCTACTTGGTTTTCATGAAACCATTAAAAAAATCCAGTAGCTATATAGAGTTTACTTTTTAAAAAAAGATTTATTTATTTAATTGAGAGAGAGTGGAGGGAGGAGCAGAGGGAGAGAGAATCTCAAGCAGACTCCATTCTGAGCATGGAGCCCAATGCCAGGCTCTGTCTCATGATCCTGATGACTGGAGCTGAAACCAAGAGTTGGACGCTCAACCGACTGAGCCACCCAGGCTCCCCTAGAGTATTACTTTTTTAGCAATTCGAGATTATGGAAAGCCAAAATCATACACTTTTGGTTTCCAGAAATTGAGAGGTAGCTTCTCTATCTCTCACACTTGCAAGAAGAGTCACCTTATTACTTTCCCACTCCTTTTGTGTTTGTTTTACTTAGGTCAACATTTTACCTTCAGTGACACAAGAAGGGATATAGGTGGTTATCCTTACAGCATAATATCTTTTAGCTTTACCAGAAGCATAGCAAGATCACGTAAAACAAAAGTTTAACCAAAGTTCAGAAGAAATTTGGAGGAGCCTCTGCGCTCAGATTATGAAAAGTAGCAGATAACATTGTTGGAAAGTATGAACTCTTTGGAGATTTAAGAACAGTACTTGTACCTAAATCCCTAGTGTGGAAATAAATTTATCATTCCTTTAGTTTCTCAGCCATCTGAATTCCTGCATGGTGATTTGGTTTGGCTATGCAGTCAATGGGATTTGGGCTTTAAAATTTTAATTTTCATCTTATTCAGAGATAAGACCTAAAGACTTTCTTTTTCATCAAGTTGGCTCTGTGCCCAACATGAGGCTTGAACTCATGACCCTGAGATCAAGAGTCAAGTGCTCTTCCAACTGAGCCAGCCAGGCACCCCAAGATTTAAAAACTTAATTGCTAGTAAGCATTGGTGGTAGAATGAGTGTGAAGTATCACTTCCTAAATCCAGCTTTTAAAATGACCAGCAGACTGTGGAAAACAGGATCAGTTCATTGAGAGTTAGGAACTTCTAAAAGATAAGTGAGTCTTAACATTTCCTTAATCCAATGGGATCTCCAGGGAGGAATTATTATTTTTTACTTATTTTTATTATTTTTATTTGTTTTGGAGAGGGAGGGGAGGGGCAGAGGGAGAGATAGAATCGCAATCAGGCTCCAAGCCCAGCATGGAGCCCTTGGGGCTTGATCCCACAATCCTGAGATCATGACCTGAGCCAAAATCAAGAGTCGGACACTTGGGGCACCTGGGTGGCTCAGTCGGTTAAGCGACTGCCTTCGGCTCAGGTCACGATCCTGGAGTCCCGGGATCGAGTCCCTCATCGGGCTCCCTGCTCAGCAGGGAGTCTGCTTCTCCCTCTGACCCTCCTCCCTCTCATTCTGTCTCAAATAAATAAATAAAATCTTTAAAAAAAAAAAAAAAAAGAGTCGGACACTTAACTGAGCCACCCAGGCGACCTCCAGGGATGAACTCTTGATTGAGTGATTCTTAGGACCTCTCTTTAGAGCTGGGATTGTTATTCAAAATGGTGCGTTATAATCAACTGGGAGTTTGGGGGAAATTAACATTCTAGCCTCCATTACCAGAGGATCCAATGCAATACACCTGGGTGTGATAGCACATTTCCTTACGGTAGTTTGAAGTTCTGGGATTTTGGTCTAGTAGGAATCCGCTGATGTCCTTTTTCATCCTTGTGTGCTCTCTATAGCTAGGTCCTTGTACACAGGTGATGGATAGTTACAATGTTAGGCTCAATGTATCAGACTTCCTGCAGGAGTCTGATACATTTAACATACATTTAACAGATTCTTAAACAGTTAATGAGCATTTCTTGAGTTCTTTATGACCTCTCTGAAGGAGACCCTTTCTGGTGTTCAGGCCTTTATACACACAACCTGGCTCTGCAGGGCAGTGTGGGAGTGCTGTGACAGAATGGAAGTGTTTGTTGTTTTCTCCATAATCCTGTAAAGTGAGCAGAATTGGATTAATTTTCACCCAGTTGATTTTTCCGACCTCAAGAAATGTACTTCTTTCCACTAGTAGCTCCCTTTCTCTATCCTTGAGGAGCCTCTGGATTATTAAGAGAAGCAGCTTTATGTAATAAAAGACTGGTTTTGGAGCCAGATTAATTAACCCTGAACTCAAATAACCAACTTTCATGCAAGCACAGGCAATTTGCTTAACCAGAGCCTCAGTTTCCTCACCCATTTGTTGGGAAGCACAGTATGTACCTGAAGATGAGGTGAGAATTATGCAAAAGAAAGAGGCATTATGACATCTTTGCTCAGTGTGTTCCCTGACCAGACTGCCTCTGTCAGTAGATGCTTTAAGGGTTTGAAATAAGCCCTTGCCTGATGTAGGCCATGCACCCGCCAAAAAGGGTGATTTATAATAGCATCGTGCTGGCCTAGGGTTGGTTCCTTATATCTTGTATCTTCTCTGCAGCAAGTGGAATCAAAGCAAAAGTTTCTTTTTGTCTGTCTATCTATCTATCTATCTATCTATCTATCTATCTATCTATCTATCTATCTATCTATCATCTATTTTTTATGTTAGTCACCATACAGTACATCATTAATTTTTGATGACAACTGATTTTAAAGATTTTATTTATTTATTTGACAGAGAGAGACACAGTGAGAGAGGAACACAAGCAGGGGGAGTGGAAGAGGGAGAGGCAGGCCTCCCGCTGAGCGGCTAGCCCGATGTGGGGCTCGATCCCAGCACCCTGGGACCGTGACCTGAGCTGAAGGCAGGTGCTTAACGACTGAGCCACCCAGGCGCCCCGACAACTGATTTTAAGGGACACAGTCATGCAAAGGGGAAGGGAGTTGCCTGTTGGACAAGCAGTAAAGCACTCCAGCTGGTGGGGAGTGTGGTAGCTCACACAGATCTTTCCAGGCCAAAGTGTGGAGGCCCCAAAACCAGTCCCTCAGATCTTCACTGTTGAATTGGGATGATGTTGCTTTTTACAGGTATCCCCTGCCTTTTGAAGGTTCACAGGACACCACTTCATGTTCATGAAAAACCTACATTGGTTCTTGTTTTCGCTAACTGAAAGAAATTCAGAGATTTTTGCTTTACTGAAAAAAGGTGAAAAGCAAACATAGCACTCAGCATCAGTTTTGCAGCGCGCTAGGACAGGGGCAGTGTGCACCCCACTCTGCTTCCCCTGACCTGCCCTTAAGCATCTCGGCATCAAGCCAGCAGAGCTCTGAGCTGCGTCTGGGAGCATCTGTGTCTTACCCGGATTTGCTTTGTGCATTCGTTAGCAAGATGTGTCCTAAGGTGTTAGAGAAGCCGAAGAGAGATTTTCGGGGTCTAGGAGTGCCCAGAAATAAATGGTAATAAATTTAATGATAATTGCTTTCATATAGATCAGTGGTAATTGCTTCCCGTTACACACTTGAGCTTACGAAGGTTTCCTGCAATGCTCTGCTTTTGGAGAGCGCGACAAACTTGTAACTGGCGCTGCATCACTGTTGCTCAGGGAGCCGGGGCCCTGAAATCCTGGTTGAGAAGTGATCAGAAAATAGTTTGTGGGCAGGTTGTTTCTGATTCTAGGAATTCGAGGACTCACCAGCTTTCTCTTATCATCATGGGCTCTTAATCTTGGATTAATTTTCAAAAATGTCTATTACCTTGCAAGGGAAATACTTAGATGGGACTTAGGTCTCCTAGACTCTACCCTGATCATAATTGGGTCAATCAAAAATTTTTGAGTGCCGAAGGGATGGTGCTGTTGCCTTCACAGGACATCCATCTACCCTATTCATTTTTCCACCTTCAAAATGAGCTTAAATATCATCTCTTTCGGGAAGGTCCATTCTCTCTCATCCTCTCACTCCGACCCGGTCCTCTTGGTTTCCATAGCCCTGTGTATTCTTTCCGTCAAGACACACAGGACACTGCCTTATCATTACTGACTTGGGTGTTACTGTCCTCAGTTGTAGGTGTTAAATCTTACCCAACTTGGCACGCCTCCCCCACACTCAGTACAGCTCAGTAAACTGGAAGGATGGGTGGGATGGCTGCTAGTGCCAGGCTGAGTGCGCCCCAGGACACCTAAAATACTTTCAGCCCTTTAACCCAAATGGAGGGACATTTATACACAGGAAAATGTGCTAATGTGAGGTAGGGACAGAAATCTCGGTCTGAACCGTTGATCTCTGGGAGAACCAGGGCACCCTGCACTACAGAGGTGACGCTGGAACTAGAACTTCTAGAGAAAAGAGGAGTGTGCAGCTATGTTTATTTTTTTTATTTTTATTTATTTATTTATTTATTTTTATTTATTTATTTTTTAAGATTTTATTTATTTATTTGAGACAGAGAGCATGAGAGGGAGGAGGGTCAGAGGGAGAAGCAGACTCCCTGCCGAGCAGGGAGCCCGATGCGGGACTCGATCCCGGGACCCCAGGATCATGACCTGAGCCGAAGGCAGTCGCTTAACCAACTGAGCCACCCAGGTGCCCCTATTTTTTTTATTTTTATTTATTTCAAGATTTTATTTATTTATTTGACAGAGAGAGACACAGCGAGAGAAGGAACACAAGCAGGGGGAGTGGGAGAGGGAGAAGCAGGCTCCCCGCGGAGCAGGGAGCCCGATGCGGGGCTCGATCCCAGGACCCTGGGATCATGACCTGAGCCGAAGGCAGATGCTTAATGACTGAGTCACCCAGGCACCCCATCCATGTTTAAATGTATCACCAACATTTCGTATTTTGCCGTCTCTTGCACGAGGCTCTGCCTTTCTCGATCCTTCTCAGAAGAAGTAACCGTTTTTCCAATTCTCATGGCACTTCATCTGAGCCTCTTTATTGTCCAGTCACGTTCCACTGTGTGGCACATTGCAGCATTCATGCCTCATCACTTCTGCTCGAGGCCAGGATCCACGCCTGGTGTAATTCCACCGCCTTCAGTGCACCTGGCGCTTGAAAGAGCAAGCCTGAGGTTTTCCGCATGTCATTGTGAACCACTCACTTTGCCACTGCACGTACGACTGACCTCAGAACTTAACAATGTGCAGGCACACTCTTCTCTAAACACACGGTACGAGAAGTATACAGAATAAATTGTGATAGCTCTTTTTCACATATCTTCCAATTTTTTCTCCCTTTCCAGAAGTAACCGCTGTTACCTATTTATTATATACCCTTACAGGCTTTTTCCACATAATGTTTTACTAGGATGGCCCTGTCTTCCGTGATGTCAGCGGAACTTCTGATTTCATCTAAAGGTGAGCTGGTCCCAGGTACAATGTCTGAGATAATGTGCCTTTTTCTCTGTATTCTGGGAGGCAGCTCTGGAGATGACTGCTTCTTCCTGAAATGCTCTTACTTTGTTTTTCCTGAGAAACCAAGGTTTACTTTCTTGGTTCTTTAGTCTCTAGGTGAGGGGCCTGTGGGAGCTGGGCTATTCCAGGTTCTGATATTTGCAGCATTTAGATGTCCTGCTTTCTAATCTCCCGATAGGTCTATTTTTGGCAAGAAGTTCTCTGGAACCAGGTTATTAGGAGGAAGGGGGTCAGAGTTGACAAGAATATCCAGGCTGGGTAGGTTTAGGGAAGACCAAAATGATTCTGGGTTTAAAATTAATTTCCCTTGTTTCAGGACCAAAATTTTGTTCCAGGATATGGCAGTCACTGTTCTCTGGCTAAACCAACAGACATTTACAACCCGTCCTTCTCTCTTCCCCAATTCTTCCTTTCTTGAACTGAAGTGTGACATCTGGAGCTGAAGCAACTATCTTGTGCCATTGAGGCAACCATTGGTAGACTAACTATGAGAGCAGGAAGGAAGGAGGAGCTTGATTTTGCTGACATCATGGAGCACTGCATAAGCCTTTGACCTGCCTACCTTCTAACTTTCTGCTCAAAGAGAAAAATAATTGCTTATTGTTCGTCAGGGATTTGTTACTGATATTTAAGAACAATTCAAACTGGTACAAGTATAACCATCCATTTCCCTAGAAGAGCTGCTCAGGTCATCAGAAGCCACCAACATGAAAAAGGAGTCACAAGCCTCACCTGCCCACAGGAGGCACTGACCATCCAGGCTCCTTGCACTTGGCTTGCTGATTGTCAGTCAGCTCAATGCAGTGGCAATGTGTAAGCAGTGGGGTTTACGTCTGCTTTACTCATGCCTGCATTCTCTTTTTTTCTCCAATTGGGAGTCCCATAGAATGACTAACTTCCCAACAAATGCTTCCAGAAATGGCCTCGGTGAAAATGTCAGCAGCCACAATTTAACTACCGTCCCCAAGATCATTCGATGCTATCCACACTGCCCATCAACAAAACTTTGCCAGGGGAAGCAGGTGCCATTTACAAGTTACTGCTTGGTAAAACAACAAATGAGAATGACCCAGGTGCAAAAGGCCACTCCCTTTTGCAAGGATCCAGCTCCCAAATGTATGATACTGGTTTGTATTTTCAGAAATGAAACTAAGTCTGATTCTTTGGAACCAAGGAGGTTTCTAGGTAGAGAGCCTGCTGCTTAATAGGCCCCCAAAACACTCACCATCTCTCACCTGCCCTGAGTTCTGCCCTCTGGTCTAGTACAGGATAAATGACTCTGAGGTTCATTGGCTGTTCACACCAGGAAAGTTTGCACAGACACTTCCTAATAATGTGTTTGCAATGATTACGTACAGCTTTGAGCATTGCTTTGCCCTTCCCCTTACTGTTAGTTGGAAATGTGTTTTTCTCACTCCAAACTATTCCCCAGAAACAAATTCTTTTCTCAGAGAAGAGTTAAAGAATATGTAATGGAGTCCTATAGAAATAAGACTTAAGGTTCCAGATTCTGAAATTGATTGATCAACTCTGTGTAGCAGAACGCAGAAGAGATGTAGAGAACAAAGTCCGGGGCTGTTTACACTTACTTGTTAACAGTGATTACCTCTGCCCCTCTCTCCTCTTTGTTTCTACCTCCCTTACTTCCTGCCCTTTTTCCCTTTTTCCCCTCCTCCCCATTTTACCATTTCTTTGCTAACATAAACCTAGTTTGTCATTGTCTGAAGTCAAGAGTAAAAGCCAAATATAAAAAATTCTGAAAGAGATATTACTTGTAATGTGAGCTCCATTCTGTGTATTAACTTCAGCCATTTGTTTATATTTGGCAAATCTCTGGGTCCTCAAATTCTAGGAAAATGTTTCTAATAATGCTAATATTTTACAATTTGTGAACTAGAGGTTTTTTTTGGTTTTTTAAAGATTTAATGTACTGTGGGAAGATGGGGGGACGTTCCTCCACCACTTTTGATGTTTCTTCCATGTAGACGAAATGTAATTAGTGTAACTCCTGACCTCTCTCTTTATTAGCTCTTCCTCTGGGGAGTAATTTATTTGATAGGTAAATTTGAAATGTAAATACCTAGGTATGTTCTGCTCAGCTTCTCTTCTTCCTCTGGGGAGCTAGCAGCTCACAGGAGTTCCAGCTGTGCTCTGTTCTTCAGGGCAAGCTCTGCTCTGCCCCTGCCCAGGGAAGGAAGTTTAACACGACCTGGGTAAGGTACATTTGCCTAATTCTAGAGTTCATTTAATTAAACTATGCCCTCCAGTCTAGTTTTATCAGCAATAAAGTTAATATTTTAATTCTCCATGTTCCACTCTTTTGTTTTATAGCTTACATATATATAACCCAGGTGGGAAAGAGAAGTGCTTTATTGGGATTGTCAGAAACTCACAATATACATCACATTAGACTAGCTGTTGACTAGATGTCTGATTAGCCGTCTTTAATATACAAGACTTAAGTGCAAGACTATCTGAATTCTTATATTTGAAGTCATTTATTTGCTGCATATTTTATTTTATTTTTCAGATTTTTATTTAAATTCTAGTTAACATATGGTGTAATATTGGTTTCTGGAGTAGAACTTAGTGATTCATCACTTATATAACACCCAGTGCTCATCATAACAAGTGCCCTGCTTATGAAGTCTTTTAGAGGAGGATTTTTGGACAGATCCAGCAGACAAAATCAGTAAGGACATATTGAACTCAACACCGTTGATCAATTGGACATAATTGACACCTATAGACTACTTCATCCAACAACAACACAATACACATTATTCTCAAGTTCACATGGACCATTCACCAAGATAGACCACGTTCTGGGCCACAAGGTACACCTTAACAATTTGAAAGAATAGAAATCACACCATGTCTGCTCTCAGATCACAATGGAACTAAATAGATACCAGTAACAGAAAGATAACTGGAAAGTCCTAAAATTTGTGAAGTTTAAACAACATACTTCTAAACACGTGGGTCAAATAAGAAATCCCAAGAGAAGGTTTAAAATATTTAGGACTAAATGAAAATGAAAACACAACTTTTCAAAATTTGTATTGAAAGCAGTGCTTAGAGGGAAATTTATGACAATACACATATTAGAAAAGAAGAAAGAGCTAAAATCAATATTTTAAGTTTCCACCTTATAAAACTAAAAAGAGTGAATTAAACCCAAAGTAAATAGAAGAAATAATAAGAATTAGAGAAGAAATTAATGATATTGGGAAAAGGATATCAATCGAGAGAAACAATGAAACCAAAAGCTAGTTCTTTGAAAAGATAAATAAAATTGATAAGCCTATAGCCAGGCTAAGAAAAAAAGAGAGAGGACACAAATTACTAATATCAGAAAGGAAGGAGAAGCATCATTACAAATCCCAAGGACATTAGATAATAAAGTAATGCAATGAATAGCTCTATATCCCCAAATTTGATAACCTACATAAAATAGACCAATTCCTTGAAAAACACAATTTGCCAAAACTCACACAAGAAGAAATATCTATTAAATAAATCAATAATTAATAACTTCCCAAAACAAAAAGCACCAAGCCAGGTGGGTTCACTGGTGAATTCTACCAAACATTTAAGGAAGAAATTATACCAATTCTCTACAATTTCTTTCAGAAGATAGAAGCCGAAGGAATACTTCCTAACTCATTTTATGAGGCCAGCATTACCCTAATACCAAAGACATCACAAGAAAAGAAAACCACAGATGAGTATCTTCCATGACCATAGACACAAAAATCCTCAACAAAATATTAGCAAATCAAATCCAACAGTGCCTAAAAAGTAGGATTTATCACCAGGTATGCAAGTTTGGTTCAACATTAAAAAATCACTTAATGTAATCCATTACATCAACAAATTAAAAATGAAGAATCACATAAGCATATCAATAGACGAAGACAAAACATTTGTCAAAATTCATCATCCATTCGTAACACTCAGTAAACTAGGAATAGAGGGGTACTTCCTCAACTTGATAAAGACTGTCTCCAAAAACCTAGAGCTAACATCATCCTTAATGGTGAGAAACTCCAAATTTTCCCACCAAGACCAGGTACAAAGCAAGAATTTCCCCTTTTACCACCTCTTTCAACAAAGTCCATGCTAATGTAATCATGCAAGAAAAGGAAATAAAAGGTATACAGATTGGGAAGAAGGAAATGAAACTGTCTTTTTTTTCACAGTTGAGATGAATAGACAAATTCCTGGAACTAATAAACAATTATAGCAAGGTTAAAGATGTAAGGTTAATATAAAAAAATCAATTGCTTTCCCTCATATCAGCAATGAACAAGTGGAATTTGAAATTAAAAACACAATACCATTTACATTAGCACCTCCCCCAAATTAAATAGTTAGGTATAAATCAAACAAAATACACACAAGATCTATGAAGAAAATTACAAAACTGATGAATAAAATTAAAGAACTAAATAAATGGAGAGAAAGTCTATATTCATGGATAAAAAAACTCAATATTGTCAAGATGTCAGTTCTTCCCAATTTGATCTATAGATTCAATGCAATCCCAATCAAAATCCCAGCAAGTTATTTTGTGGATGTCAACAGTCTGATTCTAAAGTTTATATGGAGAGGCAAAACACTCAGAATAGCCAATACAATATTGAAGGAGAAGAACAAAGTTGGAGAATTGACATGACCTGACTTCATGACTTATTACAAAGCTACAGAAATCAAATCAGTGTGGTCTTGGTGAAAGAAGAGACAAATAGATCAATGGAACAGAATCAAGAGCCCAGAAATAGACCTAAATAAATACCGTCAACTTATCTCTGACAAAGGAGCAAAGGTAGTCTTTTCAACAAGTGGTGTTGGAATAACTGGTCATCCACATGCAAAAAAAAAAGAATCTAGACACAGACCTTACACCCTTCACAAAAATTAACTCAAATGGATGATAGACC